TCGTGGGCATGTAAGAAAATTAAAAAGAAATCTTACAATTACTGTACTAGTAAATTGAAAAACGCCTAATAAATAAATTATTTTAATCTGTTAGGTAAACCGCATAGACTTACGCACGCCCTAATTTACAGTAGATAGCGAAGTCACACAAAAATGTTGTAGCTTTCTATTACCGCAAGAACTTTTGAAAACGGTTCGGTAGTTTCGAAGATTACTTTTTATTATACCTAATATTATAAATAAAAGACCAAATTGTGAGTTCTTTATTTCTCTGGTAAATAATTATTTATACCAATCTCTATAATAACATCCGCTTTATTATTAGTTAAAGGATTATCTCGATAAGCATTGGTGATTTAAATCCTTTTGAAAAATGACACTTCCCGCGAGAGCAAGACAAAATAGAATGCATACACGGAGCGCAACATAAATAACAGCTAATATAAATTAAAGATTTAGACTACTTTTTTTTATGGAACCCACACAAGAACAAACTCATTCGAAAAAATTATTGTAATGCATAAAATACGCAGAAACAATCCAACTCCTCCTTTTTAAAACTGGCTAAGAATATTAGTAAAACAATGTAAATACGGTTAACTCCGACATTAACCGATTTTTCTTGGCCATAAGACTCGTTACAAAATAAATCTCCGAATAGATACGGAAAAAGAAAGCGACATTATTTCATGAAACGGCGTTGGCTCCGCGCCATTGATTAGGGGGAAGGTGTTATCAAAACAACTAAATGTTTGAAAGCTTTCTCTGCAAACATATTCCGAGAAATTTAGTAGTAACGATTCAGTTTACTCCATTTACTAAATAGACTAATGTTGGACTGATTTGCAGGCTATTTGCGTGAGCGTTTCTTTTATGTTCTTGATAATGAGTGACAATTTATTTTGATTATACATTTTTACTAATATACATTTACTTAAAAATTCAATATGTTTAATGTATTTCAATTATTTTTGATGTTGTGGTTATTTCAGTTTATTCAGACCTGTACTGTACTTAGCCTTTTTGAAAGTTTACTGCAAAAAAATAACTGGATTTTTAAAAAGTTTTTAACAGGGATATTCGTTTTCTCTTCAAAATAAAAAAGTAGAAAGTCTCGAGGTAGATATTTCGTTTTTTTACATGATTTAATTACAAACACATAATTAAGCACATATTTCATTTTAATTATTATTAATAAAAAATAAATCTAATATCTTTATATATTTTATTAGGAGGATAGGGTTACGTTCAGCAGTGGACGAATAATGGCTGAAATGATAATAATTATTAATATTTATATTCAACCTTACTCATTATAATGAACCTATTTCAGAATTATCTGTGAATTTAACTACTTCTGGACAAATGTTCTACCTCTAGAAAGTTTACCTTGTGTTGAACCTTGGACAATTAGACCTTCAATACACTTTCTATTACAGTTAATATGGCCAAAGTACTCAACAAATAGTTTAGCATTACACTCCATAAAATAAATTTGTCATTTTTTTTTCTAATGCAAATCACGCTGTCTAGTCGGGCAAATATCTAGAGAGGCAAAATGAGTTTACTGCTATCGAGCAGAGCAATTTACTGTAAAGGGGTGGCATATATTTATTTTTGCCCAGAGCGACAAAATAGCTAGGACAAGTCAGCAAGTGATGTAGTCTCATCTAAAATTCCAATCCAGTGCAATGCTAAAATTTCTACGTCCGTGTTCATAAATTGAACAATGCAGTATATCCGCCCACTAGTTGCAGCGTCTCGCCACCACATGCCTTTATAACGAAGTATAAAATTTCTCAAATAACATTGTTATTTCATATAACTGACCAGACTAACAAAAACTGGACGGATCACTACGTATAATAATAGTGGAACTCCAAGAGCATGCTCAAGCAAAGATTACTCATGCACATGAAAAACGTGCTCGTCGCTTGTTAAAAAAAACTGACGCTGAAGTGTTACCATCATTTAATTTTGAAATTACGAAATACAGCTAGTACTAAATAAACCTTAATATATATTTAAACAGGTATAATTTTTACATTATATATTATTCCGTCTACACTAGTATATTTATCTACGCCCACTTGGGAATTCTAAACATGGTTCTATCATTATTTATATTGTTTGATTTGGACTGACTCGGAAACGATGTATTTGTTATTTGTAAATCATAAACGAACTACTAGCTGTAACCACTGTACACCTAGCTTAGAACATCAGCTAGGTGTTCCCACATAAATTAAAATTAAAAGTAATTAATACGGTACGATCTACCCGTATATCTCATTCAAATATGTTACACTTCGTTTTAAACAATACGTATACTCCAATTATCTAAACATCTAAAAATCTAAAACGTACAAATTTTTACATTATGTAATATTAATAGAAATAAAAGTAAAAAATTGTAGTAGTATCTATGGTAGTATCATATGGTAGTAATAATGTGATCCATCTCTGTAGCAAATATGCAACTCCATTAAACGCGATTGAGTAACAATCACAAACAACATTCCGAACCTATCATAAAAATGATAATTTAAAAATACTTCAGATCAAGTTTATTTAATAAGGTTTAACAATTCTATTCATATAACATATCTAACTAAATATTTAAACGTCTTTACGAAATTTCACATTATAGTATTATTATTACTGTACTAATATTATAACAAACACGAAAATTTATGAAGATGTACGCATATGAATATATGTTTGTTCCTCTTTCGCGCGAAAACTACTAAACGGATTTGAAATTAGTTGTACCTTAACATAAAGATATATATTGATTCACGCGGGCAAAGTCGCAAGATACAGCTAGCTAGTACATTATAAAATAAAATTTGTTATGTACATAGTATTTGGAATGGAGGATATAAGCTAGTTTTTCGCAATTAAAAATTATTATATAAAACTATATAGGTATCTATTCTGTTGGTAACATAGAAACAGTAACAAAAACGTTTATTGGACCAGTCATAGCGGTTTAGTGGCGATGCACGATGAGTCAGTCGGTATTTGCGTCACGTCACATTAGACTCCTAACCGGCCCCACTCAGGATTCTCTACAGCCTTATCAACGTCATCAGATACGAGTATACCGTGACGATTATTGACCCCAATTGGACGACTAATTATGCCCTCGTCAGTTTGTCACATTCCTTCTACCATCCTAATTAAAAATATTTCGCCGTCCGTCGGCATGTTCAGACTCTTATTTTATTGATGTAGCATTGCAGAGTTTTTATGTAGCTGTTATAAAAAGGGAAACAAATTTTTAGATGATTTATCATTTACGCTACAAATTGTTTAAAATAATTTTTAGGAATTTTAAACGATTTCCAAAAGAAGAAAATTTGCAATTCTTCTTATTTCTTGTTGACTGTGTTTGTTTTGAGCCGATTTTACCAATTCTTTTTTGTGATCAATAAAGTTTACTCCCATATAGAAACACCCATTTTTATTTTGTGACGACTAAAACTGCCATTTGTATTTATGAAACAAAAATTGTTTATTGCAAAGCAAAATTACAATACATCTTATCGTAGGCGTCTATGTATTGATAGTTGAATTATTAAGTGTAAATATAACCATAAAGATATTAAAAAAAAATAATGGAGTCGCTTTTTTTAAGTCAAAATGTATTTATAATAATAAAGTATCGTTTTGTGATAGTCCTTTCAAGTAGGTACATGTCGATGGTATGGAAATGATATTGGGCCATCACCTGTCAAATATTTCTTGATATGGTTTTATTTTAGAAAGTTAACGGTATTTTTTTTTTCTAACTCTTACGTCCGCCCTAATTCAAACAACCTATAGTTATAACTCGATGTATTACAGTATTCATTGTGCACTTTCTGGATGCACGTCAACATTCCCTAAAAGGCATGTCGTCCACTGAGCTCGCCCACCTACGCATGCGCAGCAGGATAAACAGCACTTACATATACATTTTAGCCTTTCAATACCTCGCTCTCGACAGCCTAATGTGGCGCCTTAGGTCTGAGCAAGTACTGGTATTTAATGGCTATTGAAGCGTTTCATAACTAGCCGACCAATTGCTCGGGAAATTACGTTGCCCTCAAATTATTTCTAAATATAAATACGCTTATAAAAATGTTATGGGATAGAAAGAACAACTTAACAAGCAGAAACAAGTTATGGAAATTTTAAAGAAGCACCTTTTTATATCAAGGTAGATAGGAAGCTACTGTTTGCCGCCAAGTCACAGAAAATAACGGGTACTATAAACATGAGTATGTACATAAAATACCATACTTTATTATCTACTTTATCAAGTCATTTAGAAAAATCCTATAAAACTTACACTACACTTCTATTTTATGCTCGAAAACAATGAAATCATTATAAATTAAGAAAATATAATTAATAATTGCTGGACGCGTTTGAAATAGGCGCATTTGTAATATCGCAATATAAAAATAGAAACATAATAATGTATAGACATTTTTATTATGGTATTTATTAAATATGTAGACAAAAACATACCTAGTTGTAATTTTTTAATTTTTGTCTCATTGTCCTGCCAATCACAATATCACTGAAAAAATTGTAATTGGATTATTACTTACTTTTAATAATGCCTATAAATTGTTATTTATTTTATAATTTTTATTTTATTATTTATATTGATTATTATATAATGTAGATTGTAATTGTTATTCTGTAAGATTTTTCTCTCTCTTTATTATAAGTAAATAATTATTATTGTACAGTCTTAGATCAATGTTATGCACTGTTAACTTACTAATACTTAAAAATATAAAAAAGCCATTATCCTTTCTTATTACGTTAAAATGTAAATTTACGATAAATTTTAAAAAAAAAGTCTACAGAAGCAATTGGCGAAATCATAAGTGAAAATATTTCACATAAAAAGATATATAGGCAAGTGCTCATGAATAAGGAAATTCTTGTATTTAAAATTAACACCAATTGTAAGTCTAAGTAGACATATGTCTCGATTCCAGGGCCACCGCCACGGCTGGGGCTTAAGGCGGCGAGCCCCGGCGTCGCGGGCACGGACGAGGACTGCAACAGCAACACCAGCCTTGCAGGGAGCCAGCACTCGGCTCACGATGACCTCGACGCGCACTGCGACAACTCCGGCTACTTGTGGTTTCTCGATTATAAGTGAGTACATTTCTTTGATGGTAAAATATAACAACCGAGCATTCCTTTGGTGTTTCCCCACCATATTTTATATATTGTGTGTTCACCTGATTTGTCCTGTATCATGCCTGCGCTATAATCCATTCTAGCAATATATAAGTGAAGGATGTTAAATACGGATGAAGTTACATTACTTGATATATCGTAACGAATTAATTACGATAGTTTGCACACGGTCAAACTGACTGATTATAGTACTAACATATGGACTACTGATGGAGTGTATTGACACTTATTACCACAAATTATAGAATAATATTACTGATGATGATATGTGTCACTCATAAAGCACCCGTATATTCCTATTTCAAAGTGTTAATGTTATATAAATAAATAACAAAGGACTTAACTTGGACATCAGTGAATTGTTTCCAAACTACCAAAATTTGCGTACCGCCAAAGTGACTAAGCACAACCTAGCAAATTTTAAATATTTGTTATAGAATGATATGGCGCTTTGTGACAAATACGAATATAGAGATTACCTACATATTATGTGAGATCAATAATATACTCGTAACTTTAATGACTAGTGCTGCTTTGGCCGTCCGCTGCCAAACAAGCTAAACCGAATTAAATTTATGCATAGAGTGCAAGTTCACAAAGACAGTCTACATAAATTATGATAATTTTTAGAATAGATAAAGTTTAATTATTTTAAATATAGGAAATATTTTTTTATCATGTTTACATTTAGGTATCATTTTGTAGTACAATTTAAAAATAGAAAAGTGACGTATTGGTGAAGACCTGTTCATTCATATATTCCATATTCTATTTGAATATAGAGTATGCATGCTATTCAAAGGAAACATACAATAGAAGCGTCCGAAACCAGTATACAGTCATAAACATGTGGATAAAGCAAGCTATGTTCCTATATAAGGATATGATCATTCGCAATCTATTCTCTTTGCTTTTCTTTCTAATGGACTTGCCTCAAAATACAGATCATAGACAAACAAAGCAATCTACTATTTATTAATGTATGTTATTGAATATATTCGGCCATTAACCCTGAGTACCATTGTATACTGGTACCTATCGTGCCATTGTACACCGATAACGATTTCGAGGTTACCATTTTCATCCCATTAAAAATATTATATAAAACTTTTTTAGAACTGTACAATGTTTAATAAAATAATTAAGATAACATGTATAAATATCGCAGTAGATCTACGAGTTTTAAATATATTGTTACCAATGCCATATATGTACAGTACGAATGATCTAACCATCGTCTAGTCTAGACTTCCGTCTGGTATAACAGAACGGAAAAGCATAATGCAGTTGCGCAGAATGAGGCGCCTGCCCGTCATTTTACATCTAACTTTGATACTATCTTCATACTAGAACTCTTGCGGTATAGACAGGAAGAACCGGTAAATAGTAAGGCTTTACTGTATTCTATTTTGCATCTCTTACTTTGTACGTATAGATATCTGTACATCTGATTTTTAGAAGTTTTTCAAATTACCAGATTTGACAATAGTCATCTGCGTAGATAACTCTGCCATGATTCTGTTGTATAACAATTATGTATGCATGGCTTTGGTCAGATTGAAGGTTTTTTTTGTAATGGATAATAATGGAATGGTAACCCCACCTGTGCTAACGGTATACGCTGACGAGGCACCAGTGAGGGATGATAGGTGAGATGAAAGTTAGCCCATCGTGATGAATAATCAACTGGAATTCAGCACGATGGTTTCCAAGGGGAACCACGTGGAGATAGGCCTAACAGGCTATATTGCTAACAATGAGACTGGTAACCCGCATTACTGACAATCCCTTCCCCCTCCCTTCCCAAAAGTCGGATTGAAAGTTGTGGTATAGCAGTGAAATTATAAAGTACGATGGCATAACACTAAAGTTCTAAGCAATGCGAACAATAAGGACTACTGTGGGCATCACAATGTTTGTTATGTTCATGTTTGATATCCATAAGCGAGGTTTACCACTTTCCATCAGGTAGGCCGTCAACTTTTCTAAATATCGTTATAATATCTTATTACTAATGAATATCTTCTCTGCGTTTTTCAGCCCGATATTTCGAGACAGTTCGTGTCACCACACCTCAGTTCTGTCCTCGGTGTCCGCGTCCTACAAGGGTATAAGCGATCTCGCCGCCCGCTTCGAATTCACATCCCGGTACAACGACATTGCCCGGGATCTGGACGCGAACCTTGCCGAAGCCGACATGGAAAGCTTCAAGACAGAAGACATACACGCGCTGCTGATGACCGCCAACTTGCCACATGACACCATCATTGATGATAGGGCACACGATGTGAGTAGTCATATTCACGATCATAAGGTACAACTAATGATTTACTAGTGATTGTTGCAACTGTGTTTACAATAGGTGGCACTATTGTTTCTAACAAGGTAATAGGTTAATGTGCCATTTTACATTAATAATTCATAAATAAGCTGTATTTTATTTTTGATAAAAAAAATTCGACCATGTTAACCAAAACAGATAACTGATAATAGTGATAATCGCACTAGATAGATATATCAAAACAAAGAAAACCTCATTTTTTGTTTTTTTTTTTAGTCTATTATTTTTTTTATTTTATTAGACATTTTTATCATTTATGTTCTTTTAAAATTTTGTTGTATCAAACTTTGTAATATCAAAGCAACTAATATATAAAATACAATTTAATTTGTAATAAGTAAATGTTAATAATAATATAGGAATACAGAAAATAATAATGTCATAAATTTCGTCTAAGCCATGTTTAGTACCTACGAGTGTCATTGCTTCTACGAATGCTGAATGAATTTCCTCTATAGTTTGCAATAGCGATTTCTTTTCCTGAGAAATAGCCAGTTGTCTTGTATTGATTATGTCTTCCTTCTTAATTATTTATTGATTATTCTCGTTAAGAATTTAATTTAACGAAATTATAATGGCTTTATTTTATAAAGTGTTTACACTTTATAAAAAAAAATCTCCAAATAAGTAAGTTTTAATTGATTCGTCAATTATAAATTCTTAAATGCTTTATTGTAAGCATGTACTTTTAAAAAAAATATATCTTAGAGGAATTTACTTACGTTAAGTATTTACGATTTATATTTTTCCCAATATAATATAATAATACCTTTTTCGTTATTAAATGTGACAACAATTTTGAAGTAACTAACCATATATAGTGTCATTACCAACCAGTTGTTGGCGATATTAAAAATACCGAATGACTCAATCATCTTAAATTATACATTTTAAGTTTGAAATAATTTATTATAAATTATTTTTCTCTATGGAATGGTCTAAAATAGAGTTATTTTATGCACTAGTTACGTAAAGTTATTGTAATTTGACACTGTAAATATAAAATATATATATTTTTTATTTTTACGCTACTACTCCAGTGTCGTGATATAAAAGTACATAATTACAGATGTACTTGATTTAGTAATATTCTTAACTATATACTTACCTGCAATAATATATATAATAATGTTACATCTGTGATAGTAATCTCTTGAAATAAATGATAATTGTATTGCGATTTATAATCTATATTGCCCACTACTGGGGAAAAGACTTTTAAACTATTTAATACCATACTTTTACAATACAATGATATTTTTTAATGGATGAAAATGTTATGGTAGCCCCGTCTGCGCTATCACTGAATAAGTTTATTGCTTATAAGTGAGGGTAAAAGCAGGTCAGTTGGCCCATCGTGACGAATTTCACAAATATTAACCATAAGACGGTTTCTAGGGAAAACTGCGTGAAGGTTGACGTGATAAGGTATACTGCTAGAACCTCATAAATGACTACCCCTTTCCCCAATACAAAGATATTGTATAACTGCTAATATTAATAAATAAAAATATACATGATATAGAGATAGCAATAAGTTTCTTAAGATTTATATTGATGTAAAACGGGAAATTGGTTATTTCATCTTATTGAAATGGCGCTAAGAGGAAAAGATTAAACTTATAACAATCTTTATATGGCTGAAACAACAATCATAAAGAAACTTCGAGATAATTATCTTTTATAGATAATTAAATTACCTACCTACATTACTTCTAAACGTCATACGATAATTTGTAATGAATAATAAATAATTACTGATTTATCAATCGTTAAATTATTGATAAATTAATTTTAGTTATGAAATTAATCAATGCGATTTCAAACAATCTGGATGACGTTAAAATATTCTATGTAAAAACGTTTAGAGAATTCATACCTTTCAGTAAACTTTACTGAAAATCTACTAACAATTAATATGCGTGATTGGATATCATTATTTCAAAATTTTTACAGTTGAGTGTATTTTATAAATTAGTTTATAATAAATTCTAGGAGAAGTAATTCAACAATTAATATAAAATGATAAATTCATGATTATTTAGATTTTTCTTTTTATGTATAAATAATATACATATTTTATTCACCGATCTAATATACAGTAATTGACTTATTTCGATTAGATACCCACTTGCCGTTTTCAACAGTTATGGAAAAATCTACATTCATGTAGCAATTTGCAACCATAACTTAATTTTATTTCCTAGTAGATGTGAAACTGTCTGAAGAAGATTTTGGACAATAACTACTTAAGTTCATTTAAACGACTAAACTATTAAATGATAAATAAAATTTAATAATTTATTCGTATAAAGGAATTATAATGAAATACGATACACAGATGCGCTAAATACAGGATGTTTTTACTAATGAAGGGTCCCGCGACTGATTACGGTCTCACCCGACGGAAAGCGATGATATGTTTACTTGTTATTCTAAATCGCTAACAATGTCATAGTCTAATACTTTGCAATGTTATTTTCTTATTTTGTGTTAGTAGATTACCCAAAAATCTATAGTTTTAACAAAACTTAATTTTAAAATTTTAAAAAGTCCATAATTCTATTATAAAGAAAAACCTATTTATAGATTTCCTCTCTAGATGGCATGATACTTGTACCAGTAAATGGATAACAACTAATTAATAATAATTCACAAAGTCAAATAAGTAGCTTAATGTAAAAAATAAACATAATTTCCATTTGAAATTCTAAACAAATATATTTATATGTTTATTATTATTCATTTATGTGTAGGCCCATTATTTTGTGTCGATTGAACATCTAAAAATCAAATTATCTGTTAACTTACTAAGTAAATAGAATATATTATAATGTATTATTATGTATCAAGGAAAAACCTGTAAATTAAACACACATAATACAGAAAATAGAACAACAGCATCTATACAGTAAACAGGAAACAGTAGTCGCAGTATATATATCCAGGGAAAAATCATCATGAGCCAAATAGACCAAGAGCCGTAAAGTAAAATTTTACATGATCTATAGTAGTCATAAATTGTTTACAATTTCAAATAAATTAGAAATCAGTCACAATTACGGAAAAGAATACGAGTAAGACAATGGATCCCAGCTTTAATTAAAGTTCTTTGACTGACCCACAGAAAGAAAGAAACCTTTTTTTATGCAATTTAGATTATATTATAATAATTTAAATGTAAGTTCAAAGGTGGAAACATTGACTTGTCTTAAACAGAAAGTGTTTAAATTGCATTTCAATTGGAATTGGTGATCCATCAACACCGTTACATATTAACAATGTTTATAAGTCTTCTCTTACGCCTTAATTATACAGATCTTTGCTCTTGGAATTATTTATTTCTAATAAAACAAGCTTACATTAAGTTGCTGCAGATCTACTATTGAAATTAATATAAAATATTAATCCAATTTATTGCAAATAACAATTATGTTTGAAACATAATCTTAAATAATATTATATTATTAACATAAAATTACGTTCTGTATTTTATAATATCAACTTATAATAATTATATACTGTTACAGTCATACTCGGCAACGGGTGTTACTTATAGAGACTAGTCTGCCTAGTTTTTTTTTTGGTGGGTGAAAATGGTATGGTCGCCCCGTCAGCGCTAATGGGATACGCTGGCGGAGCACCAGTGAAGGGTGATAGATGAGAATGAAAACAGGCCAGTTAGCCCATCATGATGAATTCATCAGGAATTAACCATGATAGTTTCCAGGGGGAACCGCGATGAGGTCGACCTGGTTGGGTATATTGCTAGCAATGGGATTCTCAGTCTCCATTACTAACAATCCCTTTCCCCCCAGTCTGCCTAGTTAACTATAACTGACCTATTTTAAGTTATTTTACATTATTATAATACAATAGTTGTATACCATGGCTTGACCCGTGGTCATATCCTGAATTCATAATGTTGAATAGCCTTATAACCTTCCTCAAGAAATGATATCAAATACAAAAAAAAACTTCAAGCTCATCTGCTTTATGTATTAGTTATTTGAAATCACGCAAAATTACTAAATCCTTTATCATTATTCTTCTCAGCCGAAATTGCTTTCCGGATTTGGCAGTTAAATAAAGATATGTCATAAGTCTTATAAAATCCTATACGAATAAATATTTTTAAATTGAATTGAATGAATTGAAATATTAGTAGAATGACGCATACAGAGATTGGACAATTGACCAATTGAAAGTATGGCTGGCACGGCTATAGTAACATATGCTATAACGGGTAAAGAAAATATATGACAATAATAGCTGATAGTACCAAAACTCTCGAATTGTTTTTTGTTTGTAATATATTTCATAAAATAATAATTATTCTTATATGGTGTCGGTGTACCAGCACTTGTTGTTTAGAATAAATTTTAGTTAGCAGTCTGACATGTAGCTATCGAAAACTACCTACCAAACCCACATACCTACCTTATATGCAAAACCATGACTGTATTATTATTATGTACGTATTATTAATAAATGTACCTATGACTTTTTGTTAAACCGAATACCCACATCTCGTATCATTCAAACCGGAAAATCGTCAAGGATTATCTACTTTACATTCCCAAATTTCTAGTGAAAATCTGCCAATTAATAATAATTAGTTTATTTGCTGTAACATACTTGGGCTTGATGAAAATATAAAAATATATTTCGAATAACAAAACAAATAGAAATTTTATGCTTGTTTTAAATTTTTAGCTTTTCTGCTATTCTTTTTTTTAATAGATTATAATGGAATGTTAACCCTGCCTGTGCTGACAGTATACACTGGCGAGGCACCAGTAAGGGATGATAAGTAAGAATTAAAAAGCAGATCAATTAGCTCATCGTAATGAATACACCTGGAATGCAGCATAATTGTTTCCAGAGGGGGATCATATGGAAGTCGACCTGACAGAATATATTGTTAGCAATGAAACTGGGAGATTGCATTACTAACAATCCCTTCCTCCCCCTACACCCTTTGCCGTTCTTTATTATATAAAAATATTATTTCTATATAGTTCAGTAGTATATCGTTCAGTTCTACCGCACTGCAAATTAATTACGTATTTTCTATATTTAGGTAATTAAAGTCTTATTAAATTATTGTTTTATGTTTTATCATCATCTTTATTAATATAATGTCATGGGTTTGGAATCTAATTTTAACAATAACCAAATCATATTTCGTCATTCTTTTGTCTAATCCTTCGACCATATTTTTGTTTATGACTAAAGTATCTTCGTTCATAAATTGTTCGAAAAGTTTTTTTGCTGTTTTAATCATCTGCATTGTATATGTACCGTACAATGTCAGTTAGATGATACGTTATTTGTGATAGATAAAGTTTTTATTTTCTTCTAAAACTGAAATATTAACTGAGTATACGATATTATTTAAAATAAGTATACCTGTATTTAATATTATTATTGTAATATTTTTTGTATATTTATATAAATTCCATATACTTAATTCTATTTTATTATTAAATATTAAAAATAAATTTTAGATACGTGTATATTAATCAGGTACAGAAGTTACTAAATTAAACTAACACGTACAGTGAAATGAAAATATTATATTTTTTGTTAATAATAATAATAAATTTCTTCTCTAAAAATTACACCACTTAAATAGTGAGAACCGTAACGAAGATAGTTTGGTCATGATATATATTATGTATGTATTTACGTATGTTTATTTTTCAGTTCATAATAGGACCTAACCTGGTGCGTGGTTTATTCATACACTCACATGATTGCAGAGTAACCCGCGTGGCGAGATGTTTGCGAGCATCTCGAGCTCTCTGATGGAAAAGTTTCGGTTCGAGAGCAGTATCAGTTTCGACAGTAGCCTCCAGGTTCGCCCGCGTTGCTGTTCAGTGTTCAATTCGATCATTTCATTTTACATCATCATTTTCAATGCTATTATTCACCCCATATTCAAGTAGCACCATCTCTTATATGTTTCATTTTTATATTCTGCAAAGATAGTACACAAATGTCATTCTATCACTTAATATCTAATTTTTTTTTTTTACAGCAGCTTTAATTTACATTCTACACATTTTTTTTGAGAACTTTTCTCAATTTTAGGGAACTCCACATGATGTTCTGTGGAATTGTAATTAACTGACAGTAGAAGAGTACTGACACCAGCAATTATTTGACATGTCATAATTATTATTTCAACTGTTGCTTGCACTGTTCAACATAAACCTCTTTCAAACTCTGCCATAAACGACTCTCTTAAACAATCTGCCTTGACTTCCTGCAACATATTTGAAATCATCACTATATATAGCAGAGGATTGTCATACACTCAGTTCGCCTTTCAAAGTCAAAACCTTTCCTCTACTATCGGTTCTTTGAGCTATACGTCTTTGAGCTAGCCCTTTAACACTTAAATTTAGTAATATTTCGGGCCATACCAGTTACTTTTTTTTTCTTCTACGGACATTCAGATTTTATCACGCAGCAAAACACCAAGCATGTCCTCTAACACGCTGAGCTATTAGGAAGTTCATATACCCAGCACTGTAAATGACAATGTTTCGATTCTATAAGTCATCACTACAATTGAAAGATGTATTTTCATAAATAGGTATACATTTCACTTTCAATGTCACTGGAGTGATAGGTTATCATATCAGCGACATACACTAATAAAACCGCAAATATGAAACAGTAAATTATAAATAGGACATAAGTTGTTTTTCAGTTATTTGATTTCAGATATAATTATTACCCCTAATTTAATGTTTAATTTTATTACATTATTATTATTATTTATTATTGCAGCTAATAAAATAATGTCACATATACATATATATAGCGTCTTGTACCTTTCGTAGAGAAATAAGAATATTAGAGATTTCATGAAATACTAGGAACAACAAAAGAACACGGAATATGTCGAATAATCTATTCTATCAATAACGCCTTCATCCTGAAAAATCTATTGATATCTAAAAATGAATTTAATATTTAGTAAAATAATTATGTTGTTAGAGAGATGTATTTCTTTAATATATACCTTTTATGAGCCGAATGTCAAATTAAAGCTTCTTTCGTATAAGATTATTTATGTTTAATTTCATAAAATTTTTATATTTATCATGTTCTCTTAGGAAAACCGTGTTTCGTTTGGAATTTTAATTTGTATCGAATAAAAATTGTAAGTTTTTCCTTATTCATTTTACGAGATTTAGTTTAGTGAAATCAGGTAACACTGAATATATAATAGTATTCTGTCATATCACTAGACTCTTTCAAGATAAAGATATTATAGATTGGAATAACGTCATAATTGCTTTATCTGGGTATTTCACAAAATCTGTAATATCCTCATTCTCCTCCGACATAGATACTTAATTCAATCGAAAAACAAAATAGTTTAATCCACCGATCAAATTAAATATAAACATTGCCTTCATTCGTTGTGTATAGTGTCTAGTATAATTATATAATATTATTATGTCTTAAAAGTTATCGTCACGCTATTTCAATTGACTATTTTTGTGTACTTAGTGGCCTCGCATAGACACAATACGGCACTTTGAAACTACAGAGTGCCATTCGCATTCAGAACAAGACTTCCTATAGAGCGCCCCTAGCACTTTCGTCCCACGGGATGTACCAGTAGTAAATATAAAATAAGAGCACTGTGCAAGTGTGTGTAACGTTCACAGTGAATTGCGTCAATCAGTTTAACCATGCTCGTTATTCCCCCGGTCATACAGTCATTCCCTCTTAGTTACGCCTGTGTGCGTGCGCTATATTTAATTGTCAGTATGTGTGGTCGTGCACATACTGCCGCCATGTGTGCGTTACCAATGAAGTCTATCCTGTAATTCACATGTTCTCAAACTGTACACTCGCTCAAAAATATTCAGTCATGTCAGTCATTCTACTATTTTAATATTTATATCATTGATATTCTAAAGGTCAATGATCAATCAGTACTATATAAATATATGTTATACAAAATTTTACAAATATTACTATAATGTACTTCTTAACTTAATTTCTACACCAACTCTATAATATAGTTCAGTAATTTGAACAGTTTCACAATTCACAAGGGTCTGCAAAATTAACATACAGTATTCTAAGTGCTTTTATAGTACCAGTAACACTAACCTTGAAATTGTTACTGCAATCAATGAATAATTAGACAGCCCCTAATTACTTTTACACGCTAATTGAGTGCATGTTCGATGCCCTTTGCAAGTCACAATGTAAATGAACTGTAACAGTTTTATTTTGAATTTAGCACAGTGTACACGTGACTCATTTATATCGATGTGTAGTTACAAACTAAAGTTTGAGCAACACATGCAGTGGCTAATATTAAAATTAATACGGCCAACACCAGTCGCGTCCAGGGCTCTCGGGAGTGTTGTACAGTACATTCATACTTGCGATGAAGTCAATCACATATAATTTTAATACAAGTGACTCTTCGGACCTTATTGATAACTGTGTGTGTGTAAGATAGGGCATTTAGTTGGACCCCGTGAAATTATAAGTTTTATGGATATCGAAGTGGACATTTAATTAAAAGTTGTTAGATAATTTAATATTATAGTGTGTAAAGTGATTAAAGACAGTTGACTGATATAATTCAAAATGGGTGTGACCGATTATGACTGGGATTCCTATAAAGGATATTACTCAGTAAGTAATTGTGTACAATACAATATAAATAATAAATGTATAGTGGATTTTATTCAATCATCGATTATATTCACTAGTTCATATATCTGTATTTCTAATAGAACTTAATTATAAATAAGAGTTCGTTGATAAAATAAACATGAATTACAATTTACCATTTATTAGCTATCAATATGTATAAATTTGTAATCAATTGTATACAATTGTTTTTTTACTTATTGAATAATATAATAATAATAATAAAATTATTATCTAATAATAAAAAATGTACCTATAAAAATCCTTATCAAAAACAGTCCAATTTTTCTTTATATTTGTATTTTGGGCATGTTTGTACTATTTGAAACTCAACGTAGCGTATGAGTTTAAAGTCTACCCACATTTAAAGTTATACTTTTAACTATTTGTAAGTAGTTTTCAAGTGGTGCTCTATTTAGTATGAACAATATTATACCTACATTATTCACAGTGTACGCAGTTTGATCAGTGACCTCATTTGTAGCAGGAAAAGGAATTAATGATAACATTCATGTTACGCCGCCATATTGTCATTTTGTAGCATCCTTTTGCCAGAATACAAAATATTATACTCGTTATATGAAAATTACTGAACATAATAATTATACACTTACTAACTACACAAATTGAAATTATGAATTTGTATTTGGATAATATTTACTCTTATCAACTCTTTTATTATCGAGTGGTCACAGGTTAAAAATTAAAAATATCAAGATATTACAAATAATAATAACACATACATGTCATATACCTATTTCCAAGTATTCTATATCTTTGATAATTGTACATAGTCAAAAACTCGTATAGATTACCAAATATTAAAGTAGGTATATGTAGCTATCCAAAGTATGTGATGTGGTTCGTTGCAAGCGGACTGCAGTTCCTTAATTTAGACACGACTTACATCCGCGTCCAGAATTACAACTAAACGTAAATGTTTATGTCCGAACGTGCGTTTCGAAATCTTCTTAGAACCACGCCGAGAGAATATATAGCGTTGTATCAATAAATAGATAGATATAGAAAATGTATACAGAATATATAAATACTTAGAAATTTCTAGCCTAATTAGTTTTACTATCATAATAAACTAATGAAAAGATCAAATAAAGTTCTATTGTCACAATGAGCTTTGTACATAATTACGTACATACATTATATTAACGAGCAACACATTAATAAATGAGTAAACTCATTTGAAATACTCTTTAATGAGTTTACTTACAATAAGCAATTACCTAATTATATTGTTTAACTTTAATTAGGGAGAGGAGTCCGTCGGTTCCATCAACACTATGTCAATATGCAAGTCAGAGTTGCTGTTCTCGCCTGTAAAGGAGGGTGCACACGGCGTACATTTCAGTGTTGACAGTCTCGACTGCGAACTGCCTACAGAACAAGACCTAATTCTAACATGTCAGGCCAATAAGGACAACTACACCATCGCCTTTGAGGGCAGCCTCACCACTTATTCCGAGGACAGCGAATGTATTGATTCGACCGTCAATCAAAAACATGGTAAATGTTATTTTTCTTCTAATTCAATTACTCGTTATACACTAAAAAGAAATAAATAATTACTTCAAAATACATTAAGTAATTTACTCAATTATCAGAATAAATAAATACTTATTTTCCCCAAAAAAGCAAGAAGATACTCATATAGATCAAAAATATAGGTATAATATAGTATAGAATAGTATAGTATAATATGGACTTTAACTTTGTTTTAAAGTTTTCGTACATCTACATAAGACTAATGGAAAGTAACTTTAATGATATCAACGATAGTGACGTAGCGTTTACTCATCTTATGATTACTTAACATGCCAAACTAACTAAACGAATACGAGAAGGTCATTAGTCACTTGTGATAAGCTATAAATATTTTTTCATAATTTTCAGACAAAATGGACAAGGAAGACGAGAATATAGTTTTAGATAATGATGAAAGAACGCGCAGGAATTTAGAATTATTAGAAAGATGTAAGAAATTAACTAATAAGCTAACTACTTCTATGGCTAGAAGCGACTTAGGATTAACTACTTGGAGTAAGCTTAAGAAACAAAACAATCAATCTCCTTTGAGGAGGTAAGGTTATATAATAATAATAATAATCCTAAGTGTTTTTATTCAATAATTTTACGGTAATTTTATAACTAATTTGTATAATTTTAAATTTAGGCACCCATCAGGAAATAACAATGAAGATTCAAATGAAACGACTGATGCAACAAACGATATGAATAATTCTGTTATCAAAAGCCAAAGTTTGCCAAATCTTTATAGAAGAAAATTAATGAACAGTTCTATCAATTCTGCTGCTTTAAGTAACTCAACTGTAAGTATTACAAAAATAATATATTCATATTTCAGTTTTTTTTTTAATGAATGAAAATGGAATTGTAAGCCCACCTGCGCTATCAGTATATACTGGCAGAGCATCAGAGAGAAATAATAGTTGAGGATGAAACAGGTTAGTTCGCCCACCGTGGTGAATTCTTCAAAAATTAACCATGACAGTTTCCAAGAAGAACCGCGTTCAGGTCGAACTGTTAAGACATATTGCTAGTAATGGTTCTACCAGATCTCGTTACTAACAATGCTCCCCCCCCCCCCAGATTCAATTTCTTAAAATAATTTAATACTTTTATTACAGGTCGATTCTTTTACCGCCAACCAAAGATTAACTGGTAATTCGATATGTATGAAAGTTTACGACGTATCACAGAATCGCTCCTCGCACGGAAGTCAGCATTCAGAACCAATGAGTACATCTTCTACAGAAAACCAAACTTCATCTGATAAAAGTCAACCAAAACAACAATTCAGTTTAGTAAAATTGTTCATGAAGCAAAAGAGCATGAGTAATGACGGAATTGTCAATATGGAGCAACTAGATCGATCTGAGTGCTGGCCTTCTAGTGAAAGTGGAGATTCAATGGGTGAACAAAAAATTACAGATTTGAAAACAAATGAGCGACCTCAAGCAGAATTACCGAGTAACATCGAAGAAGTAACAACTGTTGTTTACGAGGAAATTAATCCTTATAATAATAGAGTATACGATGACGTTTTGATCGAAGAAGAAGAAACAGTCGATGGGACGAAATTAAGTGACAGTGACACTAATTTATACGCTACTGTAAACAAACCTCATATTAAGAGAGCAAATATTAACATTACAAATAGTCCGTCTAAAATAAGAAGTAATCGCAAGTCATACTCTTCACAATCTTCGGCAACTAGTGTTAGTATTTCAAGCTGTTCTGAATCAGATGGTACACAAATCACAAGAATGACTAAACTATTGCAAAGAGAACCTTGTGATAATAAATCTACATCTACTCATTTTGAAACTACTACAATTGATAAAAGTATTCAAACGTCAAGCTTGCAAATTTCGAAAGTATCTCAAGACCGTGAAATACTTAAAGTAGTTGAGCCATCATTTTTAGAAAAACTAAAAGAAGGAGACTATGAAAAACCTGTATTTATTTTATATCCTAGTTATACATTACCAGATATTAGTTTTTTGAATGGAAGACCAAATATATATCTGAATCCTGTTCACGTAAATGTATCGCCAAGACGTAGCGATAATAAAAGAAATAAATTACAAAATAAAGGGAAGCGACCTTTTTCATGCAATGATGTTGAATTATTAAAGAAAAAAGGTATTGGACATATTAAAGACTGGGATTCACTTAACTTTTTATTACCTGTAGAGTGTAAACAAATGTTATCAGAACTGCCTGAGGTAATGCAACATATTAAAGAAAAAGAAAATTTGTCTAAATGTAATAAGTATTGTACTGTATCTCCATCCTCCAAATCGAAGAACAGACCTATGAGTTGCGATTGTAATAACTTGACTGGAAATAACACAGCTGTATCTTCAAGTTCAAGTACAGCGACACAACCATCTTCAGGATATCGAGGTTCATCAACAATGTTGACTGATTCCTCTGCTCAAAACAGCCCAGCACCTGCAGGCAACTTTAATCCGTTATTCGTATATCGATATGATAGTGCAACAAGCTCTGAGGCTAGTTGTGTTAATAATGACGGCCAACGAAATCATCCTGTTATACCAAAACGATCACTTTCGGTAGCAGATCAGAATAGAATTCCTAAACAAGGCGAAGTACCACCAGCAAGACCTCCCCTTCCAAAAAGTATATTACGAAAATCAATGGACAAAACACGTAAATCAAGTTCTCACGCCAAACGTTACAGCATGTTTGAAATAGATGATTTTGCACAAGATCCTACAGTTTGCATGACTGCAACAACCGAACACAAATCTAAACGAAGATCACTTCAAGAACCTTATTATTTACAAAACCATAACATTGATTATAGAAAAAATAACGATTTAGCAGCAAAAAGATTATCCCAACAATTTTTAGATGCAGCCGAAAAAGATGCTGATTATAATGAATATTATCAAGATGAGGGCGTCGGTACTGAAAGTAGTCTAGAAAGTGGAAAATCTAATGAATTAAAATTCAATAGGCCTCATACACCTCCGTTGCCGAAACCAAGAACAAAGAAACTTGAATATACCGAGTTTCCGCCACCTAGTGCACTTATCAGTAGTGCTGATTTACAACAATTAGAAGAGTTCTTAAAACAAAGTGGAGTTCAATGTCAAAATATGGATGAATGGGACCAAAATCAAGTACAAAAGGTAAGAAGTCAAGTGGCCAAATTCCTTCAAATGAAACGATCACAAGAGGAGAATCTTAGGTCCATAGAATCAAACGGTAGTAGTTGTAATAGCAAGAAATCTGTGAGCTTTGCCCAAAAATCGGAGGCAAAAGTTGAGGTTCCGCAAACTCAATTAAAGGCATTAGAAGAAATTAAAGGGGGTACAACTCCACCCAATTCACCTAATATATCTGCAGTCATAGCTCAAAGACATTACCAGGTAACGTTTAATATTTTACCGTTCAATTTGCTCACATCATGCCCGTTGATTTCTGTGAGTACCTTTGGTTCTTTAATTTCTATTCTCTTTTATTTAAGCAACTATTCATAAATGTCACATTATGCTTTATCATTTTTTTTATTATCTTTTAATATTTTGGCAAAATAAACTTATATTATTTTTGTCTACTTTATTGTTTGTCATCACTCATTTACATTGCTAATATCTGTCTTTATGATCTCAGAGACATATCTCATACATATATAATCATTACTCGAATTTCAATACAGGGCAAAAATTTAGCTGAAATCCCGATATGCGAAGAAGCTGAAGTAAGCCCTGATGAATTTGGTAGTCCCTTACTCCATGACGGAAGAGGAAAATATGATTTTATTGATGTGTCACAAAAGAGAGGTATGTACAGAAGACAATTATTAAATCCCCTAAGCTTAAGTTTTACCATTAATAGTATTAAAACTAATAAATATGATATTACTTTTAAGCCTTAGTCTCAAATGTGACGGACGCAGTAGAAATGTTGATTCAACACTTCTCTCCAGCGACGGATCAGGCCGAATTAGCATTCTTAGGAGATTCCAAACAATCTCCAGCCTGTGCTAAAATAGCTCTTAATGCATTGTGCCCAGCTTTATATGCTATATTCAGAGACGGACTCAAGGATAGTATCGAGACATCATTTGGAGCTGTAAATAATTCCGTTTGGCAAATGGTCGAAGCTACAGCGAGACAAGGTAACTAGCGATTACTATAAAGTATTTTCAGTTTGTACGTATACATTAAATATTTAATATATGTGATATTAATAGTAACCACACCACCATAAAGCCTAACGAACTCTATCATAAATAAAATAATGTTCTCGTACTCGTATTTACAATGTTCTGGTCGAATCTTTTTAATCTAATTGAAAATACAACTTTTATTTTTATTTTTTGTTATTATAATTTAATGCTTACATGAAATTTTGTTATTTATCGAGCTTTAAAATTTTCTAGAATATACTTAATATATCATCATGTTCATATTCAAATTTATTTTCAGGACCTATTACAAAATCTCTCAACGAATTAGTATTGAGGATTAACAGTGAGGATGCTGTAACAGAAGGACTTGTCAAATTTAATGCATTCATTCTGGGTTTACTAAAGTAAGCAAAAGATCTTTTTTACGATACTTAGAGTGGTAAAAAAACTGGCGATATACCTGTAAAGTGGCAATCGTCGTCTATAGACATGAACAACACCATACACAGCATAGATAACATTGCATTCCTAAGGGCTTTGTTCTTGCGGGACAGAGGTACCCAAGCCGCAAAGTACAACGTTTCAATGTCTTAATACCAAATACTGTTTAACTAAGAATATTACTCGATGATAGTTCATATTACTCATTTATTTTATTATTATTATTTTGTTGTTCTAGAGATCACAATTTAATTTATAATATATCTAACTTCTTTATTGCAGTCAAATTTTAAATTATAGTTTAAAATGTTAACATAAATTATAATTTCTGTAAACAGTGCACAATCAGTGGATGCTTGGGTATCATATGTACGAACTAGAGAATCGGTTCTAGCCAAGCATTACGGCCCTGATTCCATCATGCTCGCTGGTTGCGTCGGTGAACCACGCTGCCGAACACTCTTGGATACCTTATTGGCCAGTTTAGAACCCTTAAAACTTCTACCATTCTCCCTGGATCTCATGTTTGAAATGCGAGAACTTCACCGAAGTTTCAAGAAGATCGAAAGTGATATGCGTGCTGCAAGTCGGGTAAGTAAAATTTATTTAAATATTATTCACGTTAGGGGTAGTATAAGACAAAACTGAAAGCACAATGTTCCTATCTGATCAATTCCCTTCGGGTAAGTTACGATGACGTTTGTCCGTGTATTAAAACTGCTATCACATACCCGACTGCCGCCTACCTGTGCAGACATCGCTTTATTTGCATTTTATTGTTTACTGCATGTGCTTACGGATCACTACTCACAGCGTTCTCGATAGTCTATGCGGGGTTATTTTAGCATTTGTGTTCGTGCACAGCTTCCATAAAATGCAAATAAACGAAGTTCGATATCGTAAAGATATTTTGTCAAGGTTGAATCCCATCGAACTAACAACGAATAGCATGATGCATGATCCTAAAAGACTTTAATATATTTAACAGCCCACTTCGATTAACACTCCGCCACTAACACTGAATCAGCGGAACTTGCTGAAGCTGGTCCGGTCGATGCAGTCGAGCGGGGTCTCGAGCGACGATTGTCAAACTAGCGTCATAATGAGACAAAAAGAGCCCAGGCACAAGGAACCGTCCACACCCGATCTGTTGAACGATTCGGCGAATGTCAAAACTACAGTCGAAAAAAATAGACCTCGATCATGTGTTAACCCTACATCAATCGGTTACGATATATGCCCGAATAACAGTAGGATCGAGTTAGAGACGAACCGCAGATGGTCTGGAGTACAACTTGGCTCAAAACTTATGCAGGCGTTCGATCGGCTCGTTTTCGATGACAGCGATGATTACACTGATAGTCTTGAAAACAATAAAACTACCGTTAAGACAACCGGCAATGACGCGAAGGTAACTTCACGGGGCTTTATGTGGATCTTGTCGTGTGTGCTTAGTTCCGTAGCCTATGATTTTACAACGATTTTTCTAGTAGTTCCAGCGACTATTTTGATGTTGTTGATGCTTTCCAGCTTTTAACATTTTATTTGCGAATTATATTTGCTTTTGTTTTTCAGTTCGTCATTGTACGTGTGTGTTTATTTCATTCTACATTTTATATTGTATCGTATATAGATTGTTTGAATAAATATTACTTAGTCATGTTGCATGCATGTTTATTTTGAAATAAAACGACTAATACAATAATAGTAGGTACTTAGCTATGTAAACCAATATTTATTTATTATAAAATTTTATTACAAATTTGTATGAAAGTTTGTAAAGATATTTAGATTTTTTCTCATAATCACGCTTCTCGACGAATTTAAATGAAAAGTGCATCTATTATATACGATATCCTAGAATACTCTTACTCTAATACACACTAGCGATTTAGTAGATTACGACTAGTTCCTATACTCATACTATAATTAAAATTACAATATTATTAGAAAATACAAAATTTAATTAAATTTTTGTTAGTCATCCCATAAAAATCGAAACGACAATGAATGAAATTTTATACATAGATATATCATAGTATAAGGAACTGGAAAAATCTGCAGTTCTGAGGGACATATTACTCAATTTAGTCACGTTCATTGGACGACTGGTAGAAAACAATTTTCTATATTACCATGTCCTTAATTAACACATGTATAATTTTATAACTAACGGGCAATGCCCCAGAATATAACTAGTATTGTTATAAAATAAATTTTATGTGTTTCAGTTGGAATGTAGCGGAGAAGAGCAATGGCGGCCGGGATCAGCTGGGAGCGGTGCTAGCGGTAACACTGGCAACGGTAGCGCAAACTCTGGGGGCAAATTCAGACGGTTGCAACTTAAATGGGAGCTACTAAGTAATGCTGAAAGTCCCACCACTCCGTCAGGTAAGAATAATTCTTAACATTAGTTTTGTAGCGACTACTATTGTTACTTTACAGGCATTGCAACACTAGCGCACAACGCTACTACGCAGTTAACAGTTCGATAGAGTTTGGAACATTACTGCGCAGTTAAAATTATTTATTGTCGCATAGGCATTTTTATCCTATATTCCTATTATATTAGTAAGATATTACCATTTATTCACGCAATACATATATATATATATATATATATATATATATATATATATATATATATATATATATATATATATATATATATATATATATATATATATATATATATATTGACATTGTAGACTTTTAATTTATAACATCCATGCTTTCAATATATTTTTATATATTTTTATATATTTATATATTTGTGCACCTTAAAATGGTAAATAAGTAGTCATCTTGACTTATTTTTACTAATGTGAGTTTTATAGTTTAGTAGGGGGTATACAGGGTCAAATCAAAATTATTAAGCATCCTTTTAAGGTACTTTTACAAGTGAAACAAAATATTTTCACCATAGAGACTTGCGCCGGCAAACAACGAAAAGTTTTTAACTAGAGATGGGCAATCCACCTGGGTGGGTTTAAAGTCTGGTGGGTAAAAACCGGGTGTTTTGGGTTTATTGGGTTTAAACCCCATAAACACCCAAATTTTTGGGTGTTTATGATTTTGTACTTCATCATCGTCATCTCAGCCGCAAGACGTCCACTATACTGGACATAGACAATATTATTATGCAGCCTACAGAATAAAAAACTTTTAATTTGATTTTGAGTTTATTAAGAAAGAGATGAAAGTAAAATGTAAAACTACAGTCAATCACTGTCAGATTCAGAGTTATTACAAGCGATGAATTGTATAGGTTCGATAGGCTCTATTTCGTCTAAACTGTTATGTTCATTTACTTGCTCAATGAAAGCTTCTAAGGTATTTTCTTCATTAAACTGAATGTCCTCGCATTCAGCTTTATGTTTAAGATTCCAGTTATAACAAATGAATGAAATTTTTTCAGTTCTTTCAGTTGTAAGTCGATTTCTTTTGTTATTATGTATGTAGCCTTGGATACTAAAGGAACGCTCAGTGGCTGCCGAAGTACAGGGAGCTGATAGAATACGAATCGCTACTTTGCTTAACTCAGTGGAACCACAAATACCTTTCCACCATATTAGGGGCTCAATGCTATCTAATGAGCTCCATACAAATCCTCTGGCCCAAAAGTTTTCTTTAGCTTTATAACACGCCAAATCTGCCATTACATTTGACAAACTTAAGTGTTGGCTTAAATTGTAGATAAACTCCATACCCTTAAGTTCTTCCTCTTGAGTAAGTTCGACTCCTAGAGTCCTGGGGTCTAGAATATATGCTGCAAAATGTATTGGCCTCATTGCCATATTGCATCTTGAAGATACTGATGTTAGAATCTGCTGTTTGCTTTCTTCGCTCAATGTCGAAATCTCATTTAATGCAAAACGTATCTTAGCTTGTACATCTCTAAATGTAATGTATGTGCGATGCAAACGATTCTGGTCGCTCTCTAAGTAAAATATGCTTTCAGTGACTGGTTCCAAAATACTTATACATTCCCCTGTCTTCGTCCAGAAATCATCACTTAGAATTAAATCTTTAATATCTCTTGAAATTACCACATCTTCTCTAACTGTTAATATTTGCAAAGCTATCTTATTTGCTTTCAAACTTTTTAACGAAGTAACATGACTTCCCCATCTTGTAGCACAAGGCAATTTTAGTGTTTGTGTAGAATCTTCACCCTGCCTTGATTTTATCAACAAGGAACTTAATCGTTGACTCCTTTTAACAGTTTTTATTATATTTATGGCTTGCATAATAAACACAGTTACTTCTTGTATCTTTACAATATCTTGGCACAACAAGTTAAGGATATGTGCACAGCAACCGAGAGGAACAACATGTGGATATTTGAGTTTTGTTAATTCGAATGCCTTTTGTATATTTCTAGCGTTATCGCCAATAAGTACAAGAAACTTATTTGCTCCATACACTTTCATTACTTTTTCAACTTCTTGGCTAAGGTATTCACTAGTGTGAGGATTACTTTCTGTATTCAAACTTTTAACGTATGCAGGTTGAGGTTTTGATATAAGAAAGTTTATTATTCCTTCATTTCTTAAATTAGACCAGCCATCGCACTGAAGGTGTAAGTAACTACAAGCATTTAGTTCCTCATTTAACTCAAAACGCATTTCTCTATATATTTTATCTAAGTATTTTGTCGCTAAAGCTTTACGTGAAGGTATTTTAAATTTTGGTTGCAATTTTTCGAAAAATTGTATCCATAAAGGATGTTGCACCATCGATAATGGCGTCCCTGTTACAAATATAGCTCTCGCTAATTCTGTTTTTATATGATCATCGGTGTCTTGAAACTCAGCATTTATTGTAGTGTTAGCAGACGACGAGGGGCTTATAAAAGAATCATTTGTCTCTATCTCTGACAGTCCAGACATTTTGGTTTTGGACGAGCTATCTTTTATAAGTTTCATAGAGTCTTTTAATGTTTCTGGAGATTTTGGACAAGTGATAAGATGTTGAAGCATTTTGGCAGCATTACTGAATTTGTAGACCTTATTACAAAGCTTGCAAGAAACAGACTTGTTTGGTAAAGTACGGTAGTGCTCCCATATGCGTAAATCTTTAGGTCTCCCCATTGAACCTAAAAAAATGAACGATGATTAGTTGGTCTGACGAAAATTCAACAATAGAGTGCCTATTTTTTTACAATGATTATTTCTTGTTATTTACAATAAATTTATTAAAAAAATAATAAAATAAATACAAAAAACCTTTGTAAAATTACATCTCCTCGGAGGATTAAACGCAGACGCTAGTTTATTATCGTATTGTTCTGTATTTTTCTCAGCAACTTCTTTAATTCGATTAGGTACTTACGCATATTATGTTAAAAATAAATATCTAGTACACATCTTAGGCTATCCACCATTATTATCCAATGACGACTCTCAGCTAACTATGCACTATCATCCAAAATAAACGTGTATGGAAAATTTTATCCCAGTCGGTTGAGGATTGAGGATAATTGCATCAACATACGAACATACCTACATACTTTTATTTACATAACGCAAGCTAAATAAAAGCTTGTAATAATACATCTAATTTTAAGTTAAAATTGTTAAGTGATCATGATATAATTGTATCATTCAAAAATCCACTTACCTTTAATTATTTCTTGTTAAGTATAAATATTATTTCAAATCTGCTCCCTTAATATGCACTTTTTTACTGCTTTTCCTACCTAACACGTTACCAGGAAGTCACGTTACCAGAGTCAGAGTAATAGTGAACACGTTTGACAGTGATTGTCGTCGCCTCATATTCAGCGTCGACGAATAGGGGAATCCCCAGTCATAATGTATTGCATGCGTGGCGGTCTTACTTCAAATCCATAAACAAAGAGATAATTACAGAACTCGATACTAGATGGCGCTGTTTTTGTTTGAAGAAAGTTTGCGGGCTAAAATACATAGAATTTCATCAATGACTTCCACAAAGAACAACATTTCTGTTTTTTCTAAGTCCGTATCTCTTCCGTATATTTCATAAGATATAAGCTTGGGCTACATTGTTATGCAACGTGATTTTGTCGCTGTCTTGCTAGCAGGGTTGACAGATATACGATTTAAATCGTACTCATACTATTATTTGTCTATTTTTTAATGTACGATCGTAAAGATTATGATCGTAATTCGCACAAAAACATACGACTTTTTGGTTACCTGGCAACATTTTTATTATGAAACGAACATGCTCACATCATCAGTCACATGCAACAATTTATTGGGGATTTCCCCTTCACATCTGGCAGTCCTGCTTGCTAGAATATAGGTAAGTCAGCCACAGTTACTGACGATCGATATTTAAAGGGTATTGTTTTTGTGCTAAATATTTCATAAAAACGTTATTTAATACTTTGTGGATTATTAATTTAGTTGATAATCACTGGAAGTAAAATGGATGCTAATTTGAGAGATCAAGATCTTCGTATAAAACAGTTAATAAAAGAAAATCTACGTAAGTACTCTTTTTATACCTAGGTAGGTAAGGTATAATAAACACAAAAGGTACTTAGATCGCGTGTGTTCGAAGCATTTATTCTAATAAATTTAATTTAAAATTGTAGAAAGAAAAAAATGTCTGCCAAGCCGTAGCCGAAGCCGATCTCCAAATATATTTGGCGATAGTGAGACCCAGTGTCCAGATGATTTACCCAGCGTCGTCGCAACAAAGAAAAAAACGAGGATAAAGTAAAAGAAAATTTACTGAAAGAAGAAACAAACTGTTCTAAATGCTTAATTTATGGAGAAGAGGATAAAAGAAATGAGTATTTCGGACTGTTAGTGGCTCAAGAATTTAAATATATACGGCCATGTGTGCGAACGAGGTGTTATGAAGAAATTTTAAAGTATCTACGGGAAGCAAAAGGCCAACATGTTGATCAACTGCAACATGAAAACACTGAAAATTAATTACTTTCATTTTATTATATATAGATTTTTAAAATTTCCTGAAATATTATTAGTTAACGTTTTATTTAATATTGTAGAATTGATCAATACAATTTATAAAAATAATTTATTGGTATTACTTACATATTTTCAAAAAAATACGTAAAAACCTATTTTTTTGGGTGATTATGGGAGTTTATGGGTGTTTATTGGGTTTTTACCAAAGCACCGGGTTTAAACCCGGTGCTTTGCCCATCTGTATTTTTAACCTTCGTTAATTATCGTTTTAGTTTGATTAATTCATATATGACATCGGACATTTGTGAACTAATAGTTACGAATCAGGAAACTACTCGCAACTAATTGTATTTTCCCTATTCTGAATTTATTATAGCCTGTTAAGACTAGAATAGGCAAACTAAAACGTATGTTATTTGTAAACTTGAAATATAAACACGAATCTAACCTTTGACAGCATATTCACACATGTGATTAATATTTACAATCTTCATCAGCTGTATAAATATAGAGCTGTTGAAATATGAAACGCAGTTACGATGTTTATAAAAGTAATGACACTACAATGATGGAGTTGATACACGCCAACAACTTAACTGCTCAAATATAGGCAATTTTGAAGTCAGTTAAAATTAGATAAATGCCTATAACTTGTGTATTTGTATCTCCAGCACATATAACAAAAATAAATATAATAATATACAGAGGTATAAAAAAACTTAAATTATGTAATAATTTTCAGGTGAAACTTCACCAGCGGCCGCTAGGGGATCAAAAATTCCTCGGCCCGTGTCTTCACCAGTACGACCACAAGTACCTACGCTTCAGTCGCCAGCAAAGAACACCCACCGGTTAGTGTAAAATATAAATTGCTTATAATTAGCGATATAACTATTTCTATAATTTTAGCCATCATCTATAGAAGTTAGCAGTAGAAATTGAGGATATACCAGAGGGAGACTTTGTACAAAAGTCGATTGCCTGGGAACCTCTGTCCCATTCAGGTTTCAACTGTGAAGCAGCTGTGTTTGCATGGCTGTGTTTCGGTTTGAAGGGTGGGATATGGCGTGAATTTACTGGGTACAGAGGAATAACACCTGAGTCCTCAGGAATGGCAACGCATGGGAGAACGAATTAACAGTACTACTAACCTATAATAAAATTATGTCTCAAATACTTTTGTAACATAAAATTAGCATAAAAAATAGTTAATTTATATTTCTTTATATACTTTTTATACAGTGGTATACCAGTGCCAGTGCGTAAAGGCACGTCCCCCACTGCGGCACAGCCACGTGCCCCGTCCGCGCGACCCGCCGCCGCAGCTAGCACCACCGCTGGCAAACGGCCCCAACCTGCCAACAGGTGACTACAACAAACATATACCTACTTATATCGAAGGCCATATTTTTGTATTAAAATATATGCCTAGAAAAAATTATCTACATTTGTACCTAAAACGTATTTCAACAAAAACAAAACTAAAGCCATATTGTTTGTTTAGCAACGTTACACAACAGCGCGTGAGGTTAAAAATATTTTTATTTTATTTATTTCATTTAGAATAACAAGTAATTTTACAATTATACTTAAATCATACGAAATACATAGAAACGGGGAACATTGGTATAATGCTTAAAATTTTAAAAATACTCCCCGACGTTGTTAGTCGTATGTTGCGTTACGTATTTCGTAACATGTTCCTCGATCGTTGTTGTCTAATAAATACATGACTTTAGTTTGTTATTGAAAACACAAAATATTTTTATATTAAAAAATCAAGGTGACGGTTTATATGAACACGCAATTACGCTATACTTTCTACACTGTATTTTAAGTTTATATGTTTCTTCTCCTATGGTATATGTCTTTCTAGAACTTTGCGCCTTGTATGTTACGCTGGGCACTGATATTGGTGGTAGTTTTTCTTCTGTATAAATATTATAGTTGCTTTATATCTATGCACAATATCTCCAGAGTTACACCTGAAGTAACACCGAAGAAAATCATCGCGAACAAACCACGAGTATCAAACGAAGCAGTTGTTAAAAACAACAATACAAAGAAATCGCCGTATGTACAATATATACTATGTGAAGCAATTACCATAACATCACTAACAGCGCTGACGCATTTAACTTTAGTAATAACATTAAATTTATTAATACCATGCATGTAAATTTAACGAACAAACTGTATTTACAATATTTATATACCTATTAATTGCATGAATATCAATTAGTCAAAGAAAATGGTATCAAATGAATTGTTATCAAGTAAGTATATATTTACCTACTTACTATATACTCACGATAACGTTATGCACGTTATGGCGGAATAAAACAATACCTACAACATGTTTCTAGAAAAAATTGGTATAACACAATGATGAATGATAAATAGTGGTTTGGACACATTACGAACAGATCAGTCACTGGCAGGGAACACAGTATCTATGATATTAGACCATTTTTAATGGGTGAACTTGGAATGACTACCCCATCTACGCTATCTATATATGCTGGCAAGGTACCAGTGAAAGATGATAAGTAAGGATGAAAGCAGGTTAGTTGGGCCATTGTGACCAATTGAACAAGAAATAAACGACGGAATTAAAAGAATCGTCCTAATAGGGTTACTAGACCTCATTACTGGTGAAAAGAGATTGTCAATAATGGAGTCTAATAGACCTATTGCTAGCAATATCAGGTCAGGTTATAATCAGGTCGATTTCCATTGTAGTAAATGGTTGGATTCGTAATGATGGGCCAACTGATCCGCTACCAATCTGACTTATTATTTCTCACTGGTGGTCTATCGGCGTATACTAATAGTGTAGTCGGGGTTACTATAACATATTCACCTTTTAAAAAAACTCTTTACTAACAATTTGTTTCCTGCCCTAGTAAGCCCATTGATATCTATATAAAAAAAAAGTGTTTTTGTACACGAATGAGTAAGACATGAACGTTTGTGCAGAACGTCCCGCGTGGACCAGGCGTGGCAGGGCGGCGCGGCGCCGCGGCCGGCGTCGCTGCCGTACGGGCGCGCCGCCGCGCCGCCCGCGCCGCGCCGCGCCGCCTCCTCCTCCGCCGCGCGCACGCAGCGCGCCGCCAACAACCAGAAGCACAAGTGAGATAATGCAACTTCTTCCTTACATTTCCACGATCCTAGCCAATAACACCTTACATTTACTAAATTTTACAGGAATCGAAATAAAACACCTTTATTCTGAAAACAAATACATACGAAAAAGTAAATAAGTCAATGTTAATATAAATTCTCGATATATTGATTTAAAAACTCTATGTTATTACATAAAAAGAAGATAGATGAGTATGAAAAAATATATCTACAACCATGATAAATGTCAGTTAGGAAGTATTAGTGGTTAACCGTTAACTTGTATGTACTTGTACAGTAGTTAGACCTGGAAATAGTTATATAACCAGAGAGACTTCGCAGCAGAAATACTACTGCAAATCATATGCGAAGGTTAAGATATGAAATTACTGGGTAAATTATCATGGAAGAAATAAAGACTCGAATGAAAATCGCAGAATTACTATAGCCATAACTCCCAGTCCATACTAATCCATCCACGACCTGTCTTGTTTGTCTCTAAGATCTACATTTTGTTTTACCATGTACTGTAATTACGTAAATATTTTATTTATACAAATATAATTTATCTTTTACAGGTACGTGAGAACTCTATGGCACAGATTGCCGTCAGACTCCGGCCACTTAGCGTTTAACGAGGGCGAACGTCTACGGTTGATATTAGAAGTTGACGACCAATATCTCCTGTGCTGTCGAGGTGAACAGAAGGGCCTGGTTCCACGAGATGCTGTCTTGTTAGAGGACTTCTGATATTGGCAACCATAGCACGACTGGCAGCCGTGCTGGAGGCCGCTACGTCTAAATGGAAATTTCGGAAAATGAAAAGACGTGTTGTGATATTAAACAGTTTACTCTTTAGGGTTATCACCAAGTATTTTTGGATTTTTAAACAATTGAAACAGTGTCTCAAACATGTCACTTTTTGTTCTTTAAAAATCCAATTAAATCACAGTATTATTTTTAATCTTAAAGAGTAAACTATGAGTGTTGTAAATTAAGGAACATTTTGGTACCGAATCAGGGAAACAGTGACGTTCAGTTTTGTTAGAGACTATTTACTGAAAAGTAGAAAAAGTGATGAGAACTCTGCTGATCACTATCGATGTATATATTATATATAACTTTTTAGTCTTATTACTCGCCTCCTTCGTCGACTTTGACTGTATTTTAGTGTAATAAATTATTTAATTTCTACGTTACGTTCTTCATAATTAATCATCATTTCAGTTCTCGTATAGAATCTTCAACATCACTTAATGTGAATTCTCGCATTTCTCATTATGTAGTAAAATCTAGTCTTACGTTATAGGGCACGATGAAGTCTTGGACTGTACATACTATTACAAATAAGAGAAACACAAGTTGTGGAAAATTTACTGGTGATGGGGCGGTATTATCGCAGCGCATTTCATTAGCAGTAAATATTTTCTTCAATGCGATGTGATATAGATAATTATTTACATTATACTGTAAGGACAAAATCTCATAATCTTAAGGGCAAACTCCTTTTTATGCTAAATTAATCAAAATCACGTTGCTAAGAGAATGACACCCGATACTAATTCGATATTTAGATAAATTACTTCAATGTCAATGGATGTCTAAAATTACCCCTATAATGTTAGCGTTTATGTATCATAATGTTATACTTATTGGCATATAGTGTATTATACGTACATATTTATATTTTATAGAGCTATCCGCGTTGCTTTTTTCTCTAACTTTATTAATAGATAGGTATTGTTGTTGCGTGATACGTTACAGGTTACATATTTATACAATAGACACAATAAATCGAATCACCACGGATTCGTGCTTTAACTTACCTTTATGTATAACCGCATGCATCCTCTCCTGTAGCACCTTCCTTCCACGGTCTGTGGGTTTCGTAATACCTAGGAAAATAACTGTAGGTAGCTTTAATATTTAACATATTAACATACCCTCTACCACAGTTCTATCCTTTCAGCTGTCCTACATAAATACCATTCAGTAGCGGTGTTGGAGCTTAACACATTAGTCATAACTAAACGCATGCGCCTATCCACTTGCCACCTCCTCAGTCCAGCACATCGCGAAAATACACGCTAGAATTCAGATTTATAAAGCACATATTTGAATACACTTAAAACTCGTACACAACTGTAATTTTGCAACAACTACCGATCATTTAAAGATTTTAAAAAAGTTATTTTGCTTTCCGCTAGTTATTTGTAACGTTATTGTGATATAATAATCATATCACTGCATAAATGCGGGCCTGCAGAGAAAATGATATTTTGGTACGAATTTGTATTGCTCAAGTTGGAACAACAACATTATTCGATGATATGATATTAATATTCGCAAGTGAATAAATACTCTTAGTGTAACCTTTAATTATACTCATCGACTTTCAGTATTGGTTCATGTGTACCTATAAGATATTGTGTACATAATATTCTATGAGAATTATCATTATAATAGTGAAATTAGAGGTCAAAATTTGTAACAAACCTTTTGAATGCACGATACAGTTCCTCTCGTAGTCGGTCGTGCTATCGAGTCACAACGTTGGTGAAATTGTAGTTCGTATACCTATATTCGTAGTGTCAAAATTAATGTACGCGTATATACGAGTACGGTGTCTTCTCGAGGTGGACGTGATGTATTGAAACTTGCCAGTGTTAATAAATTAAACGATCAAGAGGCTCGTCGATAAATCTCATTATGTGTAAGGTGAGCATATGTTGACACAAATTAGAATTGTACAATAGACGTAATTAATACAATAATTAGTATACTTTAAATATTGATTGAATTGATTAGTTGAAATATTCTATTAGATGAACGTAACCGTATTGTGGATTTCCTTTTGTAAAATTGACATGTCATTACCATTTTAGAATTAATTCGCGCTTTGTGACTGAATGATGTGATGTGGCCTTTTGTATGTATATTAAAGTTATAATAATGTTGTTGTGTCGTGAAAGTGTGCGCTTGTTGCATCAGCCGGAGTATTCACTGTACGTCTACTTAACTGCGATTAGCATCGGGGAATGCTTCCACAAATTATTTATGTAATTATTATTATAATGGGAACTCCTAAATAGCCGTTAAAGTATTAGTCGAACAAACATGCCTTAAACAGTGTTGAGGTGAGCAGTGAGACCGCGATAGCTTCCACATAATCGCTTGGCCGTTAGTGTATCCTTTCACAGTAATATTTAGAGGAGTTTGTTAGTTGTAAGTTTTTATCAACAGTTTGTATTGTCGAACGATGTTAAAACAGGTTTTTTATAAGGTGACTTTATCTCCTGCGCGTTCGTTTTAAGATGTTGTTGGCTAAATATGGCGAGTCAGTTGTCCCTATCGGTACAAACCGTTAAGTTATTTTTAATATTATTACACGTAAGATTTTATTTATAATTTACGATCGGGATCAATAAGTTGAACTTGGGTTAAATTCTTTATTTTCTTAAGAAAAATAATATTTAAAATATAAATAAAAAAAGAAGCTTTCGTTAAGTTACGAAACGCAACGAACGACTGAGAAATTAATTCCGAATATAATAATTTAAGTTAACCTCGAGAATCATGCTAATTATATATTTCGATGAGACATTTTGTCAATCAATGTATGTATTGTTTAAAGATATTTTATTTGTATTAAGTGCCATAATTTAATGAATTAACATTGATAAATATTATTGTAATGCATAACCATGTACACCAATTAAACCAATATATAAAAGATATTATTGTTTTATTATCTACACCGCTAATTATGTAGTTGAATATTTTACTAAGGTAGAGTCAATACCAAAAGTCGATTAACACATTTACATTCGCAAAAATTTATACAGCGTAGTATACATATGTATTCAGTTCATTATGAACTTTTATATATAAAATTTACCGTTCTAGAGTTAAATAAAAACGTTTAAGTGTTTTGTAAAACTAAATATGAATTGACTTTTAATGTTGCTTCACCTAAAGAGAGACCGCAATTGCTCTGTATATGAAGCTATACGTAAATTCCTCAGTAGGAAAACCAGTAGGAAAATTAATGAAATAAATAACTTCTAGGTGGCATGTCAAGAAAAACCATAAACCAGTTTTTTAGTTAGACCTTCAGAAATATGAAAACTATTAATGCAGTAGTTTTTAAGTGATGTCGGTACAAACATACAGATTAACAAATAAAATTTCAAAAAAGGAAAATATTTTTTAACTTTTATATTTTTTATCCAACTTAGAATGGTAATCAAGCTGACGGTCCACCTGATGGAAAGTGGTAACCGTCGCCTATAGACATGAGCAGTACCATGGACATAATAGAGTATATTGTTTAGCCCATGATACTCCCATGCATTGCCATTCCTGAGGACTCAGGTGTTATTCCTCTGTACCCAGTAAATTCACTGCCATATCCCACCCTTCAAACCGAAACACAGCCATGCAAACATAACTGCTTCATGGTCGAAACACGAATGGGACAGAGGTGCCCAAGCAAACAACTTTTGTACAAAGTCTTCCTCCTATAGTTCTTATTAAGACCCCTTATATAATTTTTTTTTAATATCTACTAGTTTGAATCGAAGCATTTGACATTCTATTGTTTCCACCTACTCTAATGTGAAACAGACGTGACAAATATACATATATTATGTATGTATGTAATATAATTATATATCATTTGTGATTGTTATGCATTTGTGATGATTAGTAAGATAAGATTATGTTACATGTGAGATACACTGGAAAAAAATGCAATGCATAGATATTTACTTATTAAAAAATCTGTTTCTTTTTTAAAATTAATAACAACAATAACCTGATTGAGTATTTCTTTCTTTGTGTAGTTACTATAAAATTGTACTTAATTTACTAAAAATAAAAGCTGGATTTACTATTTCAGAATTATGAGACTTATAAATCACCTTACCACACCTTACAGGTGTCATGATTCTGAATATACTGATATTCATTCTATATAATTCGATATAATTCTGGTCAATAGTCCTTCCTAATTTTTACTAGTTTGGTCATAAACAGCTTTTTCATCGAAATCAAATTATCAATACTATGCAATAATGTCTTGATTAATTTGAAGATTGTTCTAAAATTATAATCCGGAATCGAACCAAAACAAATTCAACTCAAGAATACAAACAAAATGTTTAATAAAGCATTAAGCGCCTCATCATTCATCATCATCATCATCATCATGTCAGCCGTTAAGTGTCCACCACTGTATATATGTCTCCCCCATATAGAGAGGGGTTTTGCGCCTAGTTGCCGAACTTGGCAAGCGGGTTGGTAACCGCAGTTAGGATTAAGAGGAACGCTGTTACCCATCCCTTAATCATTAAGTTTCCTTAGTCGCCTCTTACGACACCCACGACAAAGGAAGAGGTGGTTCATTCTATTCCGGGACCACACGGTAAACCTCTTTATTAATAGAAACTAACTATGTAAACATATTTTAGTTCTTAGTAAGAAAACTCTATAGTAAATTAAAACTACTGTCTGTGATTCATCGATTTATTTTTAAAAACTACACAAACATTATTAATGTCTAAATACACGGTGATCTTGTTGCGTTTGATATTTAATATCTCTAAGTACTAGAAACACAAAGTATTTGATGCTAATTTGAAATATTCTATAAAATTCTTTGTGAAGTTATTAACGTTGATTGATATTATGACAACTTGGAGCACCAAACTAATAATCTGAGCCAATTTAAAAATATTGTTTCGTTTATGGATGAATCGAAATTCATACCAGCGGCCTGATTTACAAGAAACCAATATATGTTTTATATATATATATTTCTTTTTGGTAAATATACGAAAGTATAAAAATTACAGTATCTACTTTTAAAAATAAAAATAATAAACGGCCCACAATTCGACCAAGCCACTAGAGATTTATATGTTCTACTCGTTGTTTTTATTGAAAACAAATCAAGGAAACGCTTGTTACACAGTTTTTGTTTTTATAATTTACGTTATTTTAAAAATGTTCAATTGCATCTAAATCATTCTTTATACTCAATATTTGAAATTAATACTTCACTAAATCTGATATATTCCTACACCTACAATGTCCTAACACCAAATCCTAGGGGGGAAAGGGATTATTAGTAATGGAGACTGAGAATCCTATTGCTAACAATATACCCAACCAGGTCGACCTCCTCGCGGTTCTCCCTGGAAACTATCATGGGTAATTCCTGATGAATTCATCATAATGGACTAACTGGTCTGTTTTCATTCTCATCTATCACCCTTCACTGGTACTCCGCCAGCGTATCCCGTTAGCGCAGGCGGGATTACCATACCATTTTCACCCATTAAAAAAAAAACACCAAATCCTACAGCAACTACACTTTGTATGAATTTATATATTCGCGATGCATATTTCACTAGATATAAGACATTTAGTATCTCCTTATCTCTCTAATAAACTAAGCAAGTATAATGAATAACTACTTTTTCCATTTAAATGATGCATGAATCACTTTTGCGTGTACTTTTTAGTAGTGTCTGTATGAGTAATAAAATAGTGCGACATCGTATGAGTGTCTAATTGAATATATAATCTAGTAAAATAAAAAGTTTACATTTAATATATAAACATTTGATCTCTAAATAATCATTTCACTTATAAATTTTACTACATTAATGTATTTAATATTCACTATTTGGGTACCTAAGGTACATTATTATCTCATTAACCCTTAAGTGAAATCCCTACAATGATCGTTTTAAGATATATAAAATTATGATTGTGACTTTTTAATTGACATATTTAGTTTAGTATTTTTTATTTTAATATAGTATTAGCTATTCCTCGTGATAATTATGTTTTATAGAAATCACTACAAAATATAATTTTTATGCACCTTAAGGTGATAAACAACTGACGATCTATGTGATAAAAAGTGCATACAGCCGCCTATATACTTACATGAACGCTACCATGGACATCACAGAATACGCTATGATAGCCATGGTGCGCCTCATGCATTGGCATTCCTAAGAATTAATGTATTATCATATCCAATAAATTTACTACAATATCATTTTCAAACCGAAACAAGCACGATGCTTGGTGGTAGAAACAAATGGTATAGAAGTACCATGCAGATGACTTTTGTACAAAGTCTCCCCCTGGTAAAAGTATAATATCTTTAGATTAGTACACAGTGAACGCAGGGCGTTGTGTTAGAGAGGTGCGTCTAGAGCAGGCAGAACGAGGTGGATCGCGGGCACTAGCCGGTCGGGCCATAGAGGGGCGCCTATTTCTCTCGTTATTACGCATCACTCGATCTTCGTCGTTGTTCTCATGAGTAGAAACAATTTTACGGCGCGGAGAGAGAGCGCGCGGTGTGCGTGGCGCGCGCGCAGACCGACACCTCGTCATTGGCCGCTCCTCCTCCGACCACTCGTGTATCGACATATAATATTGATCCTGTTTAAAGAAAATAGTTTTCAGTCATGAAACAATATATTCTGTCGTACTGTAATTTTTTTGTAATAACCAAATAAGTTTAAAGATGTACAATACTTGAACAGGAAAGAAATTTTTCATTCGATTATAAATTTTAAACAAACATACAACTGATAAGTATATCGATGTACATATAAAACTGTTTAATTAATGTAAATGATTTTGTGATATGAACTAACTAAATAATATATAAAATACGTACTTGTAAACATGCAGTTCAAAATAAGTTCTATGGTATGACAAGTAGTATACTTAATATTTTTGAAATGCAAATTCGAGACAACTTTAAAAATGAGACTACTTATTAAAATACGTGATGTAAAAACGTCAACTTACCAATATTCCGATGCTACTTAATCCATGGACTAGGTGCGTGCTTGTGCAAAGTGTTGAAGATACTAATACACACAATTACTAAGTACTTTAACTGTAAGAACTTGTAGGTAGTAACTCTCGCAAAATTATATACAATTCATAATATAAATAAAACGAGAAATTTGGTGTTAAATTATATTCAATGAATACTAATTATATAGGTAGACGTCGCTTGCTTTCACAAAGTATTATACTTAGTAATAAACTAATTATTTCTAACTCCAAGTCAACTTGTAGGTATTACAATTAATACAAATATAGCTATTATCAGTACCTTTAAGGTTAAGCCTGAAAACGAAAAAAAATTGTGAAACATTAAATCAATTTTACTAGGCATAACATTAAATGACGAATTCTAAATTAAGGCGCATAGTGTTTTAACAAGCTAAAAGCAAATAAAACGTAAATTAACATTATAGACGCTAAGGGTATGTATAAAGACACTGCATTAAACTTAACAAGTCTTAGCCTTAATAAGGAAAATGTGGGTTTAAATGAAAATTTAATAAAAAAGTTACTTTTTAAACAGATACACACTATCTAAAGCTACCTTAGATGTAATTGTAATTACATTTATAAAACATTTATTATTCTAATCATAATAAATCTGGTCAGTCGATCTCGAGCCCATACTGTTCTTGTCACAGCAAGTTAAAAAAAAAAGCTATTCGCACAACGTTGTTTGGTCTCAAATTAAGCTGAACTTATTGAGCTTGAGGTAGTAAACAATTATTGAACATACTTCAAGAATTTGAAGAATTTGTAAAAAAAAGTCTAAATCAATACAAACAGACATACATATCATATCACGAAACAATGGAATCCGCAACCTTTGGATAATGAGACAGTGTGGTCAAACCGCTGCATCACAAAGAAAGGTTAATGACTTTACATAATTACCTTTTGCTGTGTCAAGAACTTTGCCCTACCTTAACACTCCAAATTATGGATACCCTATCAGTGCACGCATCTACAAAAGTAACAAATTACCTATGTGTTGTAAAAGCGCCTGTACTTATTACGTAGCTACAAATAATTTACATCAATATAACCATGTGTTAGATGCATAATATCACTTTCAAATACCAATAATAATAGCAGTAATAAATTACTCCCGTGTTGTTATAAAATTTCAGCTTGAAATATCAGAAGTCCAATCGTTTTTAATAGTTTTGGTAATGTATAGAAATTATATTAAGGTGCAAAATGTGCCGTTTTGCGTTTCATTGTTAAGCTTAAAATTATTGTGTTAATAGAAATCAAATTTGTTTACAGTGGGATAATAATTATGGTAATATTATTCTTGGCACGCACATTATACACTTAAGAGATCAGTAGGTATATATGTAGGGAACAAATGAGAAAAGTTGCTATAAAAAATTGTTGTTCACTTATAACAGAAGTAAATTGATCTAAATCAATATTTATTTCCATTATATAGTACTAATACAATATTGTATGTAACAATTAATATTGATTTAATAAAAACATTTAATGATTATTCATATAATTCACAACATATTGTCAAAAGATATGTTCATATCATTGACACTGAATACGACAAAATCTCGGACATCCATGACTGTAACAAGCACTCTTCAATCATTCAAATTGGAAACATTAAAGTATTATAATTAACAAAGATAAAAAAAATATACAAAATTGGACTCTTGATTATAAAAATTAGTGTCGTTTCCAGAGAATACGAAGTCATCCAGAGTGTCACTTTAACACTGCTGCTGATTCAAGTTCTCATCAGATTTTGGTTGCTGCGCAGTCGGTGGCAGGGGACTCTACAAATATAAAAAAGAAATTAATTGAATAAGTTGTAATAGTAAAAAATATGTATCATAACAATCACCAAAAAGTTAACACAAAATTAAAGCTATAAAACAAACTAAAATCAAACACAAACATAATATGGATGATCATTAAATAGTTAGTTCGAACATAAATAATAATAAATGAAGTGTGAATAAAAAACTTAAACCACTTATTTCATGTTACCTATTCAATAAAATGTGTATAAGTATTTCGGCTGAAACAAAAAATAATGAATGAAATAAATAATGATGGCGACCTCCACCGGTAAAAGAACAAAAGCAGAAACGTCAAACGAAAAGTGACAGGCCCAACACAACCGGGTACAAGGGCCTCACCTCCTGCCGCGAGCGACTGTGCCCCTCCGGCACCGGCGACTGACCGCCCATCTGCTTGATGTACTCCTTGTCATCGAATATTTTGATGTCACCACCTCCTGGTTTGTGTTTTACATTGTCCAACGAGCCCACTTTACTTTGTGCTTTGAATTCCAATTTTTGGTTTTCAATCTGTTCGAAAGAGTCATTGCACTAATAAAATACATAATACGTAAATATATATATATAATATATATATAATTTTTATCTAAAGGGTTTCGTAGGCTAGCTTATTTTGAAGTACCGACTTAATAATTTTTTTTTTTATTTATCTTTTTGATATTACAAAGTTAGAATTCCCACGAAACCCTGTGCATCCATTAAACCATGCTATCATTTAATTGTATATATTAATTCATATATAAATTTATATTTTGTAATGTGTAAGTGCTTTAAATGTATAAAAATGTTTATTCATGGCTCATGCTGGTTTTCTTATAAAACAATGCATGTATCTAAATGTAAGACATTATCGATTGTCATGTCATGCTCATAATCCATATTCATGTGAAATGTGTATGAATAGATACCACTTCTATATGATCAGTGTGTATTTTATAGATTTTTATTAAAGTACCTATTATACTGACATTCTGTGATTTTAATTTGCATTTAGGCATGTATGTATAAAAATAGTTTGTAAATATAATAATTTAAATAAAAATCATAAATAAAAAACCGCAGATATTAACTCTGAAACAATTCGGACAATGCAACTTCTCTATCGATGTGTTACACATTGCACTGTTAACATTTATTTTGAAAGCAAAACATACAGCGTGTGAAGAGCAGCCGCAACAAATCCCTATAACATGAACCTTGTTAAAATAGAAGGTTCTCGAATACCTATGTACCATCCTCGTTCACGAAAATGTACCAAACTGACCTTACTCCACAAAGAGTGGAAGGCAAAGTGTTTATGTGATGCCCTCCACCTTGGCAACGCCCACTTTACGTACTAAAAACAATAAGGACATTTTAACTTTGTTTTCAACAAAGACGTCAAACTGTGAAGTTAATTAGTTACTAGCCGTCGATTTCGTTAAAGTTCTATTACACATAAACATAGTGCATCGTGTGGTGTGATCACACATTAAGACTTAAGCAGACATTTTGAAACAAAAAAATCGTTTACTCACAGCTCTGGTTCCGTTCTTTGCAACTGTTGACTAAAGAATAACAAAGTTATATGTAGTAATTTAAGACATAAGAACCTGATCTATCTACTGACTACTTAGCAGTAATCTACCTACTTTTGCATTTAGTGCGGTGTATTTTCTATTGCTTTTATAATTGCATATTTCGTAATTACTCAGAATGGTGTCTTACATAGATACTTGTTTTAACTCTCAAATATGAAAAATATACATGTTTCTATATGAATTCTATAGTTTAAAATAAATATCCTCATACTCACTGAAGCCCTGTAGTCTCTTGAAACGATAACTTGATAGGGAATATGCGTCTTTTTTTCGTTAGTACTTATATATAATAATATCAATTACGCATTAATTACCTTAACTGCTCCTCCGCCTGGCTTGTGAGTAATGTTGACTGTCGATGCCACCTTAGGTTTAGCTTTATCTTTGAAATCCAATTTAACTGTTTCGATTTTCTTATCACCACCACCTGGTTTATATGCAGCATTTTGAAGTGAACCAACTTTTGATTTAGCGTTCCATTCCAATTTTGTGGTTATAATCTATACAAGAAAAAAATAACAGTTACTATAATAATTATTAAAAAAACAATACGACTCAAATGTAAAATAATAATAAAATAAAATAATAATAATGTAATCACAAACAGTATGTCACAACACCTGTTAATCTTTAGTATACTGTAATAGGCAATTATGTGTACAAAATATAACACACCTTACGTAGTACATGAGAGGCGAAACTCGAAATAAAAATACCTGAATAGCATGGCGCCATGCATAATACTCTGATAATAGTCAGACGTTAAAGATATTATTATAGTAATAAAATAGTATACATAATAGATTTTTTACTATTGCTACTGACCTTCTTGCTACCACCACTGGGTGTATAGGCATCATTCTTAGCTGCAATTTTTGGTGTCACATTACTGAATTCCAGTTTTCTATTTTCGATTTTAACTTTGCCACCTCCAGGTTTATATGTTGCATTGTCTAAAGAACCAATCTTTGATTTCACTGTTTTAATGTTGGGCGACGGTGCACTACCCACTTGTATTTTGTTCATGGGTACTTCTGTAAATTGACATATTATTATTATTATATCAGCCGTTAACTGTCCACTGCAGGACATAGACCTTCCCCATAAAGAGAGTTTTGCAAGTAGTTGTCACGGTTGCAGGCGGGTTGGCAACCACAGTTAGGTTTTTAGAGATGTTTTAAGAGGGACGCTGCTGCCCTCATAGTCACCCTCCCTTAGTCGCCTCTTACGACACCCACGAGAATGTTAGGGGCGGCCCATTCTATGCCGGGACATACATGGCAAAATTGACACAAGTTTACTACTATATTACATTGAACAATAATTATAATTACTTTGTAATAGTGACTGTGGAATATAATAACAATTTATATCACTACATCTACTTAACGTAACCTTCATATAGTCTTATAATCTACTCCATTTAACAAGATTTTAGTAAGATAAGAAAGAAAAAGACATAAAAAGAAAATACGTATAAAAATACAAGAAAAATATGTTACCTATAATTTTTGTAATGATTTAAAAAAGCTTCTAAACAACTCTATTTGAATAAACATTACTTCTATTCTATTGTGAGTAAAGAAAGTAGTGAATATTTTAAAAGATGCACATTAGCTAGTTTTTAATTCTTCTATTGATAGAGATAGCATGAAAATAGAACGACGTACAGAAAAATAGTGAGAGTCGGTCTACTGCTTCTTCTTATTATCAACAGTTTACTAAATTCAATTAAAAATAAATAAAAATTACAACTCACTTTTCTTTTCTGTAGGCAAAGGATTCTCTGGAGTTTTAGCAGTAGCGCTTTTGCTCGATGATCTAGAAAGACTGGGCTTAAGACTGTTGCTAGATTTTTCTTTGGTTGGCAATTTGGTCGGCACTTTATTCTTATTTGGCGATCCAGGAGAACCATTGAGATCCTGTGAAAAGGAAATGATACATTATTCACGATCTTGCTTCCGATTACAAACTATTCAATACCAAGCTTACCCTCTTTATTTTACAATTTATTTTAAGTAATAATTTCTACTCGCATAATATCGATAAAACTCTACGTTTTTAATAATGTTTAGCTTGTGGTTGTGGGCAAACCCACTCATTAGTTATCTACATTTTACCTAATATCAATTTTCGTTAACTGTTGTCATATATATTTAATTATTATACCAATAAGCATCCCTCAATACAAATAAATAGATAAAACTTTTTTAATTATTTTAATGAGAATACTCTGAAATGCTCTTTAATTATGAAAAAAATTTGTTTACAACTTGAAAAAATACGCTGTATCATTTCAAAGTTATGTAAATTTTGTCGTATAAGCACTAACTACTTTTAATAAAAATATATAGATATACGTACATTTCCTTGCGTAGATTCATCTACTCCACTGTCGTTGTCGCCTTCTGAAACGTGAAAAAATATATTCATATATAAAAACATAAAGATATCAAATTAATAACTATATTATATATAAAAAGATTTGTTTGGCTCATCTCAAAAAATACTGTATAATATTACCTTTCGGTCTAGTTTTTGGTGCAGAAACTACTTTCCGAGGAGTGGATTTCTTAGAATCTGATGGTGTAATGGACGTATTTAATTCAGTTGGTTTTTTATTTATAGGCTTGGATTCTAAAACAGGTGACTTAGATGTTATTGGTGATTTAGCATCCCTGTTTGAATCGAATTTCATATCCTGTTTTATATCCATTTTAGGTGTTTTTGGACGCTGAGGCTCTGGAGTTACTCTTTGAGATTTATTTATTGCCACAGAACTATTAGAAACAAATTGTTTCGGTTCCGGCGAATCATCACTTCGGGTCAATGAAGGTGACCGATCCAAAAAATCATTTTTATTTTGGTTGCTTACTGACTCATTTCCGTTTTTGATTGACGTCAAGTTATTTTGTAAGACCACGTCTTCATCATCATCAATTTTTTTCTTCGTATTGGAATTTGATAATGACCCTACAAATGATTCTGTCATTTTAGACCCAGATAATCTAGATTCTGGACGTTCGGGTATATCTTTGGCTCCGTCATTGGAGATTTCCGATCTGATACTTTCTTTAGAACTGCGTATATTATCTTTACTGTCAATTTTACCCTCTTGAATCAAACCCAGTGTTGGGCTACGACTAGTGAATTCTTCGATCTTTCCACCTATAGAGCTAACAGACTTGCGCCGATCTTCGTCCAATTTAAATGGGCTCGGTGACCCAGGGGCGGCTGCAATACTATAGCTTCTTCCTTTAGCAGCTCCAGGCATTTCAATGCCATTTTCTGATTTATTAACATTTTGACTTTCATTTGAAATACTTTGGTTATCCAGGTTGACTGGTTTATTTTGCGTGTTTGTAGAATCCAAGCCCTTTATAGAGCTTTCTGACGGTTGTCTCAATAAAGATGGTGCTCCAAAACCAGGTACTCCGTTTCGTGGAGCTCCGTTAAATTGTTGCAGCAGCTGCGGTCTTGCAGCGTGAACAGGATTGGTTGCAGTTCCAAATACAGGAGGTTGTCTCGGACCAAATTGAAGATTATTAGGTAACGGACCTCTTTGAAGCGATTGGGGACTTGTAGGCGATTGAAGAGGTCTCAATCCTTGCTGTGGTGCTATAGAATGTGGTCCAGATGGTCGCAATGGAGGCTGTTGTGGTCTTTGTTGCTGCGGTCCAGTTGGAACTGGGCCTCTTGGCGGTGGTGCACCTGGACGAGGTCCAAGTTGTGGTGGACTAGTAACAGGCCCTCCTGGTTGAAATTGCGGTCTTGGTTGCGCCTGCGGTGGAACTCCTGGCCTTAACAATTGTTGAGGAAATGCAGTCCGTGAATCGACTCTATTTAAGGTGGGACGAGTTAGCGGCTGTGTTGGTCCTGAAGACTCCGTGCCAAATGGAGTAGCACTCGGAGGCCGTGTCTCCGTCGTTGTCTATACAAGAAAATACGGAAAAAATGCTTTTAATTTAGATTATACCTACAATTAAAACCGACTTATAGGGAATCCCAAACATTAATTGAATCGTGCTTAAAAAGTAATACGTAAAAGTTAAACCAAATTGTTGTAACAAACAAGATTTTCAATTTAAATACCATAATGTCTATGAATTAACACAGTAAACTCATTACATTGCTAATAACTTTGTTCTGTAAAGTACTAAACAAATTTTACTCAAGCTCGATTGGCGCCATCCATACCTCATGATATTACAAAGTACCTAAGTAACTATATTTTTATTATAAGGAAAAAAATTAAAATCATTGTAACTAGTAACCTCGAATATTACCATCTACAATTACTCGTATTGGTAAAATCTTTATTACGCATTTATACTAAACTTGCTTTCCACACTTACGTTGATAAAAATGATAGTTAAGCATTGTTTCAGGTCATTGACCTAAGATTCTCGCACAATCATTTTATATTGGCGATTTGGTAAAATGCACGAAATAAGAATGATTGAACACGACATCGGCGCAGTAGAAGAGCGGGGCGGCGACAAGCGCGCCATCTCCGCCCCATACTCCACGAAAATAAGAATATATGAGAAAATAAAAACCAGCCGAAATATTTTGAAAAGATTTATAATATAATCATATTCTTTCTATCAAATGTTCACCATAGAAAATTATCAGTTATAATAATATAGTAAGTACTTTAGAAATTGTTTATAATAAACTTTTCATATTTACGTTACTTTTAAAATTCATTGTCTATATATGTTTACGCTTTAATTAATTTTACATATCCTAAACTCATTTAAATAGTTATATATACCTAACTATATAAATTAGATTTATGGAAATGACGGAGAAATTCCATCAGAGTCAAAAACAAAAATAATTTATGTACGTAACATATTTTTATGAGAAGATGATACGAGTATAAAAACAGATTTTTTATTAAACGAAAACTAAAATAAATAATTAGAAAGAAAATAGATAAGTGAACGACTTTAGTCCATAGACACTCCAGATGCACCTTGTTATAAACCCGGCCACTAGGTCAATGAAGTATTACTGAATAAAAACATAAGTTCTTTCAATATGTATAGTGAGTTTTTCTTAGGTGGCTTCATAGAGATTATCTTAATAGAATAATGTGTCTATAAATGTATGTGACATTTATATTTTAAAAATATTACATATATTATTATTATATGTTATAGTGTTTGTAACCAAATAACAAGTAATGCAACTATTTAACTAATACAACCTAATCATGCTACCTATGCTGTAATGAAGGTTTCAGACTCTTGCTTGATGAGGAATAATTGATATTATATTACTAGGTAAAACAATAATAATTATGACAATGGAAAACTTCTACAATGATCTAGTAATTCAAGATAAGCGTGATGAACCAATGTAATTAAACTAGATTATTATCTTCAAAAACCTTGATATCATACCTCAAAACATTTAACTGCATTTACTTCAATGCAGACTTTCCTAAGGATCTCTTGTATTGTGTAAGCATCATGTATATTTATAGTAAACCAATATCGAAGTCAATAAACTATAGAGTATCGAGATTACAAGAATTTTTAATATTATTATCATAGTTAAAATATAAAAATGCTATCTAGATTTGAAAATACACTTTTCTCTGCTTAACAAAAGGTAGGAGACATCTTGATCGCGTGATTATTGTTGAGCTTATAGCTCTCGTCAACGAACTCCGTCAAAATATCAAATACTATGATCGCGAATTTCATGTTTTACTTCGGCACGGTATTGCAAACCCTCCCTTTTATTTGTTAATAAATCAGCCTACACGAAAGACGATATTTTATCGCCAACTATAGGTTCAGAGCGCAATAACTGAATACCTAATTGCATAACACAATGTAAATATTTTCATTGTTTGCAACATAACATTATATATATTATTATATATTATAAGTCCTCGCTTTTTTATAATACTACCGCTGGTATTAGATAGTCGTTATTTGCTACGAAGAAACCCTAAGAAACTCAACAATGATTCTTCTTAAATTTTATATACAAAGTCGTTTTTTATATTTGTGTGAATTATTATGGTATATAAGATATTATTTAAAAAACATTTGTACACATAATTTTCATGGACGAGTTTTTATTATACTCGAATACACTCTTACAAATTCTCATTAAAAACTAATTTTATCAAAAGGTATCAAAATATTAAACAAACGAATCTTGTGTCAAACTATTGTTTACATTTTTGCGGAACTTTCGAAGACTTAGCTAGTAGTTTTAGCCGCCTCTAATGGTGGCAGTTACATCGTTTAAGTTATAGCGATAAGCAGTGTTCCAATCGATTACTTAACGGAGCAAGGGCGCCTGAAAGACAGGTTTTCTATATTTTATCCAAATTTAGAATTCTATTAGAGGGGAATGGGTGTTAAACTGCCTTTATCACGTACCTACGTTATAAAGCAGCTTAGGCTGCGAAGTGAACAACAATAGACAAAAATTACAGTTTGAATAAAAGTTGGTAAAGTTAATTTACTGCGAAACAGTACAATACGATATTTAACGACCTTGGCGGTGTAGCAGTTTGACGTACCTATGGCCTTCCGATGGTCGCAGGTTCGATCGCCACACAATACAAACATGTATGCTTTTGAGTACGTCTGTCTTCAAAAAGTATTTAGGTATATATCAGTTGTTTAAACTCTACTTAATTTGAAACTAGATGGCATCGAGTATCATGTCCCGTGATATTTATTTTACTTGTTTATTAATACTTAAATAAAAATATATTTGATAAATATTTATCGAACGCTTACAATATTGTAGACGTTATAATTACGATTTATGTGATATACTACGACATGTGCAATAAGGGTACTCGGTGCTCTCGTGACGCCACGAGGCTTACCCGATTTGCGTTGTTTGCGTCCATAGTTGAGGGTTTAAAATCTTCAAACTATTAATATTGAATAATATATCATAATTCTTCGACTCGACGAGGCGATCGTTTATTTGCGATATCTCCTTGAAACTATAAAAAAACAATAAAACTTTATTAGCTACACGGTCGCACGAAAAATCTACCATTAGCTACTTAGTGCTGTGCTTTGCTGACGCCTGTAACAAATGACATAATATCTACTTTCTTGTGACAAGTGTTGAAGTGAATGTGTTATACACACCTACAATTTGTGTACAAATAACCACATCACTATGTGAAAAAAATATGAAACTATAATAAATGTCAAGTGTGACGTTTTAATGTAAATAGGTACCCTACTTCTATTATACCCTACTTCAAAATATAACACGCTAGTAACATATATGTACCTACTTTTATTAATAGGTGAAAATAAAATAGTTACCCCACTAGCGGTAACGGTATACACCGGCGGAGCACCAGTGAGGGATAATAGGTGATGATAAAAAAGGAGGTCAGTTAGCCCATCCTAATGTATAGGCCTGGAATTAAACACGATAATTTCCAGGGTAGACCGCTTGGAAGTCAACCTGGTTAGGTATATTGCTAGCAATGTGCCCCTTATCCATTACTAACAATTCCTTCCCCCATATGTACCTACTACCACCTACGTATTATCTACTTAATAGATATTGTAATATGTTGTTTTATTTTATCTAGGTAAATGTTATTGTCATTGGCTCACTGATAATTTACTGTCGTCAATTGATATTTTAAATCCTAGGCTTGGTTTTAGATAACCATAAAGTTATTATGAATATTTGCTGGAAACATCCGAAAAACACCAATTAAATTATGTAATTGATTTGAGAAAATATAACAGTATTTGTATGAGACCTTTATTTAATTTTATTTTTTCTTTTATACTGAAAATATTTTTTAAGCTGTGACAAATAAAGATATAACATTTTTATTTCGGTTTTTCTATTTGAGGAGGTTTTTCTAGTTTTAAATTAGTTTTCACAGAATACGATTATATTTGGACTTCATCTTAGTGACTCATAAAAAAAAAACAAATAATCATACTAGACAATATAAATGGCAAGCGATGAATGACATCATAACAAGTTGTTGAGTCGTTAAACTTATACTTTCATTATTTTCTGTCATAAATTAAATTATATCTCTATGTTTTATAGGTGCATTCATAATTTTTGTCTCCTTTATTTTACTTTGGTAATGCTAAAATTATATAAATACCGTAAATCACAAAAAGAATGACAATGTAAAGTAATATTAGTTAATTTAAAATTTTGGCGCTTTTACAAAGACAGCAGTAAAATATGTATAAAAATTTTAACACATTTGTGATACTTTATGTTTTATAGCATGAACATCAAAATAAACACGAGATATCGAAGTATTTAATATCAGCTGTTCCCGGGACACGCAATATATTTATTGAATTGTGATAAATTTTATGACCACTGTTACAACCAATCAACAAACGAATAAACTCACATTCATATTTACAGGTAATTTTAGTGAAGATAATAACATATCACAAGCTAAAACGTTATCATCATCTTTGATGATGTTGATGAACGGTTACAATGACCTAAAATTAATAAATCAATGGTTAACGGGTATTTTATATTTATATAAAAAAAAATAAACATTTTAATAACTGTTATGACAATCACTGATAAAACGTGCTTTTAAATTAACTATTTAATACAATTTTGCTCGTTTCACATTAATTGTTTACTTACGTCATATGACATACTATGCATACATACCATACAACAATAGTTAATATAAAGATTTCTAAAAACACTCGGTATGGAAACTAATTATTAAAATAACTAATTAATATTATTAAAGTAATTTATGAATGAAAAATGCATATTTAACTAATTGAATAACAGCGACTATTAATGAACAAAAATATTTCTAAAACGTTGTATTCATGAAACCATAAATAATATTTAATGAGAAGTTTACAATTTAGGTATAAAATTAGTTACTTCTACGTCATAGTGCAAATTGAAATCGACTAGCTATGTGTAGTGTAAATAAACAAGCATATATTAAATTTGGGAAAACTGGATTTCATAGGTTATTTTTAGCGTGATCGACCGACTTCTGGAGAACATGTTTTATATAAGTACTTTAATATTTACTACTATTTACGTTGTATTCAACAATATAATAATATAACGGCATTTTTATTTATTATCATCAAAATCTACAAGCCAAGTGCAAGTAGAACTTTCACAATTAAAACTCCATATAGTAATTTCAGTAGTTTATTATTATTAAGTATGTACGCATTTTAATAAATAACATCTCGGGTTTGATTTTTAGTCGAGGCAATGAAACAAACTATTTTTTTAAGGTCAAAATAATCTACGCTTAGCCCCCGAGATATACGAGATAAAAAAAGTTTCTCATAGCACAGGGAGCTTAGTCTAGCTTGAGAGCTGGACAATTGTTCTTTTTTTATTTCTATAAATTTTCCATTATGGTAATAATAATTAATAGAAATTACTAATTTAGATTAATTATTCTATATCAATCAGCAATAATATAATAAATTAACCTGCCACCTACAAATATGTAAATTTAACGTACTTTTAACATTAAAAAGTGTACATATATAAATTGCCTATGTAACTAAAAACTAAATTACTTTTAACCTATTCAAGTTACTTTTACGTGCACGTATACTGTGCCTGACGGCGTCAATTTCGAGAACAGCTGATTTCATTATATGACGCAGGTACATTTCTTGAGTTTTATGTAAAACGTATGTAATAATGTAACAAACATTTCTTTATCACATAATGGAGCGGAACTTTTGCAACATTATCAGATAAAATTTCAATTTCAAAAAAGTTATTGAAATATATACAACGGTTTTTAAGCAGTTTGGGATATTAGTAAATACTAGAATCCGTATAACCAATAAATTTTACACTAAAAGATATACGCACAGAGAATTAGTTAAAAAAAATGTTCAGAAAACAGAAACAGCATAGGAACGAATTGATTGATATCAATTTAACTTAAATTAATTTTAAATGAGTTTTTACCCTCAAATAAATTACTGCTTATCCGACATCTCTAATTGAAACAATAAGAATAAATTTTCCTAACATGCTTGTTATTATCATTTGCGCGGATGTGTATGCAAATGTTATAAATGTGCAAATTTATCATAGTGTCTAAATTTCGTTTTCGGTCGCCGATCAATAATCTTTTTTCTTTTATTATAAATTATCGTTGAGTATAGCAAGTGAACTGATTAGGCCGGCGGGCACTCCTATGGGAGTTGCCCACTTTGGGAGGGCCCGACCTTGACGACCTTGATATATACTAACACAAATTATGTAATTTAAAATGAAAGTGTTAATAGACCATCGACTCATGAAGACTAGCACTATCCATAAAATGCTAGCGTGACAATTATGTCACTAAATTACATACTTATCGTAGGTATATACAAATGTGAAAATCCGTGAAGGAATTCTATATCTGTGTATGTATATTTAGATGTTTTAATATTTGTTACTCAATTTAAATTTAATTTGATACATAGATGTACCATATTTTAGATTAGCTTGTAGTTTATTTACATCTAATCATTATATAGAGACACGAGCGATATTACAAGGAAGCGAAATAATATTTTTACGGGGCCGACACTATAGGACATCTAGAGTTTAAATATAAAATTATCTAGTATCCTGAATACACTAACGTTAATAATAATAAAATGAACTGACAGATTTAAACGTAAAAATAAATGAAATGTACTTCGTCCGCGCTATATTTATTTTTGCTACCGACTCTACTACTTCACTTATCATCTCCTTCCTGAAGCCAAGATACAACAATGTAAAATGATACTAAAATATTATTGTGGTTTTAAGTAACAGTAGAATAATAATTAACTTAAATTTTTTATTAAAATTTTGAAATTTAAGGAAAATGTGATTCATTTTCAAATAAAAAAGGATGAAACACACTTCGATAACAAATACATTTTAGATACGGGCATTATTCGCTTACAACGTGACGGAAAGGAATCCTATTTTTAACGACTTCAAAAATCAAGAAATTTTCTATTCAATGAGATTTTTTGTGATTGTTACATGATATCTTCGCCAGTTCTGGTCCAATTCTAAACAAAAATTCTGTTTTTTTTTCTTTTCATTGTAGAACTTCACGTTAAAAGATATAGTGAACAATCGCATGTTTTATGTACTACAGAAACTGCTTTCAGTACTGCTACTGAAAAATCCTTTATCAGAATATGATAATAATATCAATTGCATTGTTCAAAACATAGATATCTACATATGAAGAAATAATACCTAAGCAATTTTAACTATGTAGGAAGCAAACTTAATTGCAAACAAATATAAGATACTTCGTAAATATATACTTGAATTGCAGAAACCAGTAATGGAATGTAAATGAAAGCTTTTAACGGAATACAAAAAGCGTATTTGTACATGTACTTAGACTAGAGGTTCTAGAAATATTTTATGTTACGTAATCCTACAAACAATAGGTATGCTTCATCAATCACGATAAGTACATGCGTATTTTAATACTTATTAAATATCTGTCGAGGAGGTATCAATAATATGTAATCTTCGTGTTATAAGTAGATATACAGATAAAGTTTTACAAACATATAATGAATCTATATTGCTTAGACAATAGTTCATCCTTAATAATGATAATACTTAAAAGGCAATTTATCTAATTTGATTTGATGTCATTATTAAGTTTCACAAAATACGAATTAGAAATACTCTTTCATTCTAACTAATATCCTACTCCATGTTCTTGTCCACTACACTGGCTTTTTCTCCAATTCTTTCACTATTCAGCCTATCATGAGCTGGAATACCCGAAACGAATTATATATATACACCGTCTTATTTTACTTATCACATTGTACCGTCAATTAATTTTTGTTATTCTTATCTGCGGTCGACTGGTAGATAACGGCATATGGTGTTAAGTCCGCCGTTAACACTATCTAGATGTATTAAAGTGTGATAAACAAATTAAAATATCCGTGTAAACGTAACATGACCCATAATTATAATAGTGCAATACGTCTATACCTGACCACAGAACTTGTCATCTAATTAAATATAATTGAAAATGGCATTGCACAGTTTTACGTAAATGTCATTATACATGTAGATTGTAAGGAAAGTATCTATAATTGCACGTAGCGAGGAAAATGCGACTGGCGTCATTCTATCTACGAGTAGCGTCAGTGGCCGCCAGCGGCCGCGGTGACGTGTTTCAGATACGGTCGTACTTGCCAAATATGAGTCACAGGCGATATAAAATCACATCGTCTTAGATTCCCGCATCATTCCGTATCAGACCGCAGCACGCTACTGAGTGTAGACAAATAAATAAATTAATCAAATGTTTGTGCAAGGTGTTGACGTTCTAAGTTCTACATTGGAAAATATTAGTTTGGACATTCAAAGTAAGTTATTTTATATTATCTTTATCTTTTTTTATCGAATTATCATGATATTAATGTTTTTACTATGAATATTTTCTTTCTTATTAATTTATGATTGTAAAAAGAATATTAATTGTCCCGAACATGTTTTAGAAAGTAGCTTTTAAAAAATTTTGTAAGACATACTTATTTATCTTCATTACTATTAAGTTGTTACTTATTAAATTGATCAAAAGTGTGTATGTCTAAATTATCACACTAAATCCCCTATACAGTAGGTGAATTAAATACACAATTTAACATACATCCTTCGGTTCATTCCATAATAAACTAAAATATATTAATAAGCTAATAAAATTAAATATATATAACAGTGTATTTATATATTGTTTTTCTTTTTTTATAGATAAAATGCAGCCAAAAACAAATAAGACACCTGTATGCCCGAAGGGTCAACTACCTCTTCTGCATCTAACACCAGTTGGGGGTGAAAAGAATACCGATGTTAATAGCCAACAAGAGACAGAAAACCCTTGCCTTCTGAAGCCACACTACGACATGCCGCCCACGCCACCACCACAAACCAACCCACAATCCTTTGAATTCTTTCCACAAAGAATAGGGTAGCTACTCTTTGCTCATTTTTAGAAACGACATAGCTTTTAAATGGCAACCCGCCATTTCGCCAAAACATGGATCTTTACAACAAAGTCGTCAAATACGCTTCGTATCGCTATTACAGTGAAATACGCAAATGCCGGAGACGTATCGGTGGATCTTTTTGCCAAATGTGAGCCAAACTACGTCAGTGGACCGACATCTCGTGTTTATTTTGCTCAAACTTTTGTTGTGATTGACGTGAAAATGTATTGTTCTATAATAGAAAATTTATTATAATGTAACGCAGTAATGTTCCTAAAATTGATAGTAATTTCAATATTATATTTTATAAGTTATTGCCAATATAGTCTTAGTGATATTAAATCCAGCAATAAAAATCTAACTAAGTAGATGTTAAAGCCCACGAATGCGATGATTTGATATATTAAAATCTCCATTCAGTAGGTACATACTAAGTACTATAATTATAAGTATTATATTTGGGTTACTAATATTTAATAACCTATTTAGTACATATTAAGTTATTCAATTATGAAATGAGTTATTAAACATTCATAATAAAAATATACCAAATAAATATATTAAAACATTGAGTTGTTGATTATTTTGTTGAGAGCATTAGTTATGAGCGAGTTGTTAATTATGTCGCTTGTTTTATCAAGATTATGGTTGTACATCGATGTAACACTATTAATCACTTTAATTTCCATGGAATCGCAGCGAACAATACACAATTATTTAATTGAATTATATTAATTTGTAAGTCTTAATTTAATTATATTCGTTTCTTCTAAATTTTCATTACAAACCATTGAGGTTGGAAATTAACATGAACATATTTTTAAGATATGATTTTGATTATATGTATATTAAGAACTATATAGTTCAAAGAACCGAGAATTTATGGGGAAGAAAGATTCTGAAACTGGTGACCCCGTGTAGAGAAACGTAGTGTAGGATGACCCAAAATTAGATAGAGCAACGACTTCAAATGTATTGCAGGGAGTTAGTGTATGCAGGTAGCTCAGGACCGTTTCTTATGGCAGTCTATGGAGGAGACTCGTGTTCAGCAATGGACAAATAATAGCTAAGGTGATGATGATGAATTCAATTGCATTCAAATAAGCTCAGCGAAATATAGGCGAGCGATTCATAAACTATAAAAAGAATAGTCGATAAAAGACATCAAACTATCTGGAATTACAGTCATGAGTATATTTATTATTTATTATATTTTAATTATTCAGACACGTATAATAAACATTGAATGGATAGTAAAAGAATAGGTTTAATAAACTTATACATGTCTATCCATTTCCTTACATCTGATATTCTTATAGATAGAAATACTTTGGCCTTGAAATATAAACCAGTAAACACAATGTAATAGCTAATAAATAACATCTATATTTCTGCCTACAGTACGTATTTTGTCTGGACGTAAGAAAAGAAACTTTCCATTATATGTCTGCTCTATAGACATATAATAAAATCGTAACTAGACGATGTATGTGCTTAAGAGATAAAAAAATTATACGTGGAGTGTTAATAAGAGCAATAGAAGATATAACAATATTTTTTTTAATATCTATTTGTCTGTCTGTATATTTCTTCAAACATTGCGTATAAATTATAAGCGTATACAATTTTTATATATTTCGTAATTTGTTTTATTTTGATACGTCATCTAGGAATGGTCTATTTTCTTGGTTCATTAGTTCAATATAAACACACAAACTTGCCCGCAATAGCTAGTATTACAATATATCTGTATTAATATTGGAATGAGGAATGGTTTGATTTTTTTTAGTTAATAAACTCAAAAAATATAGAGCAGTTACTCGCAAATAATATACAAAGTTACATAACGCGTGAAACTTAGGCTGTTTTTTATTTTCAAAACTGTGCGAAGCAAGGGCAGGTTGCTAGTTTCAAAAAGAATAAGCTGAACATAAGCCTTTTTTTTTTACAACTTAGAATGGCAAACAAGCTGACGGCCCACCTGATGGAAAGTGGTAACCGTCGCCTATAGACATGAACAGTACCATGAACATAACAGAGTATACTGTTTCGCCCATGATACCCCTCATGCGTTGCCGTTCCTGAGGACTCAGGTGTTATTCCTCTGTACCCAGTAAATTCACGCCATATCCCACCCTTCAAACCGAAACACAGCCATGCAAACACAGCTGCTTCACAGTTGAAACACGAATGGGACAGAGGTACCAAAGCAATCGACTTTTGTACAAAGTCTTCCTCTGGTAAAGCCTCCACTGCTGAACATAAGCCTCCGCTAGGATGGTTTTACCAGTCACACTTGGCAGACGGATTGACAACCGCAGTTAGACTTAAAAGATGTTTTAAGAGGGACGCTGCTATCCGTACCTAGACCTTTTTAGTCGTGTCTTACGACACCCAAGGGTAAAGAAGAGATGGAATATTCTATGCCGGGACCACACGGCCAATAAAATATCATACAAATGTTTGACTATTTGTTTCTTAACTATGGATTTGAATTAAATTTAACACTGAAATGAATGATCCATCTTGAATTAATACAGGACTAATATTGTACTAATACCTGCGGCTAAAATCTTGGGATACAGTTAGTTATTCAGAATTTATACGGCCCCTATAATTGTATTAGTCATGTCAAAGAATAATGTGAACATACGTGTCAACATTCATTCATTGTAGTGAGAACATCCGCGTTATTAAACTAGGTCACTGGTCTTTTAAGCATCCTCCTCTAAATAATGGTCATCCACCTCTATCCTAAAACACAAGTAGCTAATTATTGTCAGGAAATGCTTTCATATTATATTATAGGTCATCCCACTAGGGATTGTTAAATTCTCTACAGTTGTGTCATTCTCCTGCCGTAAAATAAAAAAATAAAATAAATATTTAAATAAATTTTCCATATGGTGATGGTATAAAAATATAATATATGACTACTATTGTTCATTCCCAAAAACGTAAAAACAACTAAGGGAGCTAATCGTAACACACCACCGCAAAAGTAGAAAAACTTGAAATAAAAGCTTAGCCGGCGACGTGGTAAAAGAAAACTAATATTGTTCTCTTATAGAGAGACAACCATACCTAGTAGTAGGCCGTTGAAGGGTTATTTTAATAATTTTGTTTGAATATAAAATTATAAACAGCTTGATTCATCATTACATTCTTAAAAAAACGTAAATAAGCACCAACAATTTCTTAAAATTTGCACCGGAATGATATACTAGGTCTTGCACGAACAAGGCTGCTGAAAATTGCTGTTTTTATACCTAGTTTAGGATATTATTCTACAAAATAAAAACAATTTTAGTAACTAGATTGATATTGAGTCAATACATGAATAAATAATTATAATAAACTCTTTATTACGCACAAAAGAGATTACACAAGAAAAATTTATACAGAGTACGCATATACAAAAGGCGCCTTATCGCTAAAAGCAATCTCTTACAGATAATCTAAACAAACCATATTGATTACGAAAATATTATATTTAATGACTGTATTTATCATTATTATCTCTAGAAACTTTTAAATACAACTAATTATTAGCAACCGATTTGATTTCGGGTCGACAATTATTTAATTATTATGTATTGTTATTAGTCGATCAGAATAAAAATGTAGCTTTTACATTGTTTCATGACAATTCATAACAATTGTTTGGTCTATTGAGACCAAGAAAGATACTTTCACAGTTTTAATTAATTTGGAATAGCCACGAAGCTGACAGCTTAGTCTAATGAATAGTGATAGTCGGCATCTGTAGACAAAGACCGTACCAGAAGTTTTATGGAATACATTGTAATGCTCATGGGATACCTTCTGTATTACCTGAAGCCTAAGATGTTATATCTACATATACAGTAATTTCACTGTCTTATCCCACATAAAAAAACTAATATCTAATTATTATTTTTAATCTTAGGTATTTGAAAGTCTCAATGCTAATAATTTACATCGGGTTTCCCCTTTTATTTTGCATGGAAAGAATAGTTTATTGCGAACATGTACAATTTGGGCGCTATTTTATAGAGGGACTATAAGATGTGTGATAAGTAAATATATATAAATATATATGTATGTAGATCAATTATTCTTATTTATTAATACATCACGGGAAATATATATTAATATAGTTTCTATGTGTTTATTAACTAATATCTAGTGCAGTATGCACAGCTGCTTTGTGGCAATAGCATGAGCGGGATATATCCCACTCATGCTATATGTCTTGTAGAGTAATTTAAATTTTATACAAATTCTCATCATTTCGTAGATAAAATAAAACAATTATATTAATTGCCTGAATCTCAAATCTACACTATCGATCTCGCAGCATTAAAATTCTCTGTGCACACGATGATATATTTATTCAATATTGATAACGGTAGATTCACTGTCTTATGTACTGCCGAATTATATATTGGCCGAATATCGACTATAACATATAACCACAATGAAAAGCGAAGCAAATTTACAATTTTATATATCTACGATGTTTAAAAAGACATACAAATATACATTTTTATTGTTTATACAGTCGTGTAAAATAAACAAAATTGTTTTACTTAGTTAAAATTAATTTCTTAACAATGTAATTAAACTGCAAAAATAAAGACTTATATTTTTTCAAATTATTTTATAATATAATTAAATAAAAAATAATCCTGTATTAGTCCATCAGAAGCAATAACGTCAGCGCAATTTATCAACTCCTACAATTAAATCTTATAACATCTGTCTTAATAAAATTAATCAACGTGACTCATCAGCGTTGCATGTTACTCACTCGGTCTCGTCGTAACGTATAACAATACTTATTGCCTCTTGACATAAATTTGTAGTAGGTAGTTGAAATTTTAAAAGTCCTATAACGTAAATTGGACAAATAAGAATTTAGTGTTACATTTAATTTGCACGACGCTATATCCATCTAGAAAGATATTTCCCGTGGGTGTCAATGGCGAGCCGGCGGATCTGTCAAATGATCCAATTGCTGCAACGACTTGCTCATTGCCAAATATAACTTCTTTTTGGGTAACTGATACAATGACATATTACAAAAGTCATGTACCTAATATTTCATAGGAAAATTCTTATCTATTTTTAAAACTCTTGTTTACTATATTAATACGAATATATTGTTTATTTCGGTCACAGTTGTATAATAATAGTAAAATTATAATACCCATGTTTTCAAAATACTTTAAACAAAAACACAATTCTATATTAAATACATCTATTCTATTGAATCCCACTTTTTTGCGTGACTGTGTATGTGTGTGCGTGTTTTTTAATGGCTGAAAGTGGTTTGGTAACCCGACCGTCAGAAAACGCTGACGAAAATAAAAAATAAAAAAGTGTATAATTTAATCAGCTGGATTAATTTTTATGTTATAAAAATTATAACAAACATAAATATTATTACAATTGAACTAAAGTGCTTTTTCACACTTTTTCACACTATAATTGTAATATTTTTGTTAAATTGCTAAAGTGCAAATTCATATTATATTGTACCTAGTTATAGTATCATTAACCTTGTTAATTCTCAACTCATAAGCAACTAACCTTAATTCTTATAACCATTGACTACCAGGCCCATAATAACAAATAAATCCACAACAAAAGTTCAATAAACTCATTTGTCGCCGTATATAATAATCTTCCAAAAAACTTATTTAAGCTATTTTTAAACTTAAAAAATTTACTGTTTATGTTGTGGCTTCTTAATAGAATGTTTTATCAATTATGCGATATTATTTAAGTCAGATATTATTATTAAAATAATGTACTTTGTTTTATTGCATTTATTGTAAAATAAAAGATATTGACGACTCTTTTTCCTCAAACAACTTAATTAAATAAGTTGTTTCTGAAAAATTAAGTTGTTTCTCTTTATGCATATAATATTAATTAATATTTCCTATATTTTTCTATCTATATTGTTAATAATATCATATAGAACCAAGTCTAGCATTGTACTGATCCTTGATTTTCTAATCTTAAGTAATAAATTTACACAAAAAATAAATTTATACCTCTTGGTAGTCACACACAACAAAGAAAATTGTGGTATACTTAAAATTTTTGTGATAGTCAGTATATTTCCCCTCAGTATATTTATAACTAGTTTTACGCCAGTGGTCTCGTTTGCGTAGGCTATAAAACAACAATGTAAGTACAAAGAATAATCTTACTCATTAGTGTAAAAAAATAATGTTTTTCCATATATCTTTAATACCTCTATTTACCTCCTTAGACCTTGACCAGCAAAAAAGGTAAATACATTATTAACAACATTAATTGATAAATTAAATAAAGAGCATTTATGGTTTCTTGTTCCGAAATAAGTACACAATATATATTCCTAATAATACCTATTGAAATTTAGAAAAACCAAACTACGAGGTTTGTCCGGAAAGTACGTATAAAAGTTTTTTAAAAATTTTATTTTACAATTATTCAGGTAAATCAATTTTATCCCCTTCAAAGTACTCCCCCTGTGACATAATGCACTTGTGCCAACGCCGTTTCCACTGTGAGAAGGCTATTGAAAGTTCTGGTTGTAGGTTTCTCAGCTGCCCCGTCGTAGCTTTTTTTATCTCATTTATGTCCCCCAAATCCTGTACCAATTTGGTTTTAACAAGAAGAAGTCACACGGGGCCAAATTAGGGGGGTGATAATTTTTACTCAAAAACTCACGGACAACAAGAGAGGTGTGGGCAATTGTCGTGGTGAAGAATTCTCGCGCCAATTCTGGACGAACTCGTGCCACACGAGCTTTGAGGCGTCTGAGCACATCGACGTAGAATTTTCCATCAACTGTCTGGCCTGGAGGGACGAATTCTTGATGGACAATCCCCCGAACATCGAAAAAAACAATCAACATTGTCTTGACATTTGAGCGGGATTTTCTTGATTTTTTTGTTCGTGGTTCCCCGGATGTCTTATCGAATTAGATCGGCAAAAATTTCACGGCCATTCTTGCCGAGTTTCGAGAGAAACTTGATTACGACGCGCTGCTCTTCAACGGAAGCGGGCTCCATGCCGACGGGGTTTCGTTAAGAGGTAACTTCACAGATGGCGTGACAAGCCAGTTCGCACCGCACGGCGGTCAGACCAGAACTGAAGCATTGTTAGGGACATAAGGAAGGGGTCCTGCGCTTACCTGGCCTCCCCACTCCTCTTTCTCGCATTCCAGAACACTTTTATACGAACTTTTCGGACAGACCTCGTATTAATGAATTAAGTATACTAGCTAGGTCTCACAGTATTTTCCCACATAACAATCCTGTACTTTTTGTTATACTATATGATAATCTGCATACGGCTTTGATTGCTACAAAATTCCATTCATTTCCATCCATGTAATTAAGCATGATTAAGTAACACACATCTCAACATGTTTACAAACTTTCATGTCTGTCTATACATAAGTTTTTTTTTATACAACTTAGAATAACAAACAAGCTGACGGCCCACCTGATGGAAAGTGGTAACCGTCGCATATAGAAAGTACTATAAAACTGTAAGTAAACCGTTAATAAACTACTAAAGGTATTTTGGTTTTAGTGTAATAATGACGTTATCCCTGGTATCTTATTATCATGAGAACACAATAATTCCCCTCGTGAATAACGTCAAAACTAAAGCTATTTTATAATATAGAAGTCTAATAAAATTTATATCTCCCTATAAATAGATATAAATTATGTTATATTCAATATAATTGTTTTAAAAAAAATCGTAGTTACACAGAACCAAACTCTTGAAAGGATAGATCTTTCCAAAATATTGAAGTAGAACAGTTCACCAGTGTCAATTAATAGCATTGTTAAATATTTTTATTTACAATTTGGACATGTATCTGTTATTATAATAGAATCTTAAATGCTTTTATGATCTAGCTACAATCATGGGAAAATCCGGTATGAAGAGATTTATGAAGCGTGTTGCTATCAGAATAACGTGCTATACCTAAGTAATTGGCATTATATTCAGATAAGAAAAACCGCCATTTTACGCATTTCATGATCAAACAGAAATAGTCGACACGATAATACTCTTTCTCTGATACTAAAATAGATACTACAGTATAAATTTTTTATGATCCAAAATTTTCCATCGACCCCGTGACTAAGTCGAAACCATATTAACGTGTACGTTCTAGTAAATAATTAAAGAAGTGCACGATCGATATTTACACTAGTAATAATAACCCATAACTACTATATTTACAGTAACAACGTTAAGTGATATCGAACGTGGTACTAGAATATTCTCGGTGCCAAATCAAAAAGCCGGGGCAGTGCTAAATTTTCATAATATATCTATATATGTACTTACCCAACAGACAGCTCACTATAGTCAACAATATAGAATAGCTTCTGATTACTGACTTTTAGTACTCAAGTAGGGTTAGAAAGACCTTCCGCAACTGTCGCCGACAGAGTCTGGTGTGCCGTGATACGTACGGCCTCTATCGGTTAAAGTACGGAGAAGACTATCTAAATGTCCAGAAATGGCACTTAATTTTTAAATATTACTTCTCATACTTTATTTTTAATTTTATAAAAAATTCATAATATTTATTTTCAGACAATAAAATCTTAATGAATTATGTTAATAATATCGTTGTTATTTGTATAAGAACAAATTTTTTAATTATACTTTAATTCGAAAATAAAACAATCCAAATAATTTTAATACAAAACTTTACCTGATAATTTGGGAAACTATATAAGTATTGTGTCATTTATTTTCATCTAAAGACGCATCTAAATATTTATAACACTAGAGCAAAGTGCGTCCTGCGCTCTAAAAAAGATGCGCGCGCATCCATCACTAGACGATCCCTACAGGCTGGATGCTACTACCACTCTATCAACCGCCATTGATGATTATAAGAATCTACGCATTTGCTTCAACTACATAAAGTCTACGCCACAGATTATTATTAAACTATCAAACGTGTTGATCATCGCAAGTTCAAAATAGATATATTTGTTCAAAACTAATATACTATGACACTAATTTCGTGTTCCAACTAATTCTAAACCTTTGAGATGAGCCAAATTATAAACTTTGTATCTTAACAGCATCCAAGTACCTGTAACAAAAACAAAAAAGAATTAACATTTTTATTTTAATTATATTACGTACTTGCTTTATGCCCGCTACTTTGTATGCATATATTTTAGTAGTAGAAAAATTTATAAAAAATATCACTTGTAGACATATCAAGATAAAACATATCAGATTTGAAATTAGACTTTCAGGAACAAATACATACATACAGACTGCAAAACAAAATTTCAATATTATATTGTTTTAATTTCTATTGCTCTTATTAAAACCATTATATCTCCCCTGTACAGACATCGACTAGTTACAATTTTATTATATTAGTGTGATATTAGTATGATAAATAAATATAAAAAAAAAATATTGTAAAATTTATGTCAATAAAATAGATTCTAATGAAAATCTAAATAAATAAAAATACCATAATAACACAATCGACTATAGTTAATTCATTTTTATTATTCATTAATTTCATTTAGAGTATTTCTGTGATTATTTTAATAAAACTTAGTCACTTTTTCATTGTATTATTAAACATATTATAAGCACAAAAGGTCTAGATAAATAATACACACTGATTGAATATATTTATAACAGAATTATTTTATTGGTTCTAAAGCATTGTTTTCTGCTCCCACCCTTTCAACTATACACCTTAACTGCCCACTAAAATTCCACTACTGGTCATGGAAACATCCTCATAAAATACTCATATGCTCATATACTCATATACTATAACTGCCTTGTGCTCTTGACATAGAATGAGCCACCCCTCCTTTCCCGTGGATGTCGTAAGAGGAGACTAAGAAAGCTTATTGGTCGACGGGTGGACAGCAGCGTCCCTCTTATAACATTACCAAAGCCTAACAGTGGTTACCAACCTGCCTACCAAGCATGGCAACTACTGACGAAATCCTCCATATGGAGGAGGCCTATATTAAGCAGTGGACAGTAAACTGATATGACGATATATGAACATATATAGTATAAAGATTTTTTTTAATGGGTGAAAATGGAATGGTAACCCCGCCCGCGCTATCAGTATACACCGACGAGGCACCAGTGAAAGATTATAGGTGAGAATGAATGCAGGTCAGTTGGCCCACCATGATTAATTCTACAAGAATTAAACAAGATGGTTTCCAGGGGGAACTGCGAAGAGGTCGACCTGGTTGGGTAAATTGCTAGCAATGGGATTCTCAGCCTCCATTACTAACAATCCCTTTCCCCCCAGTATAAAGATATTTCCATACCTAATTATGAGTATTTAGTTATAGTTACTATAGACAGAAAACCATAATAAAAAATAATATTGCAAAGTCTGCATTGGCATAATTCGTTGTGAAATAAACTAAATAATAGTACCTGCCTGCTACTACAACACACGCAAATCAATTTTAGAACTTTTGCAGCAAGCCGAACTGTTGTATACAAACAATCAGTCATGTTCCAACTACTGTTTTCCTCACATATTCATTGGAAATGTAGAAATTATATAAGTAAACGAGAAAATTATTTTAACTATAGAGTAAATTATGGTTTTTCCCCCGAGATTCAGAATAATATAGATTATAATTTATTTTTACAAACTTTTATAACTATAATACTCGTAAGAGTGTTAGTTCAATAGTTTTAATCAGTCCATCCAATCCTGTTTTTTTTTTCTTACCTATCCAAATTGGAAGTTTTTAAATATACTCATAGGTAATAATAAAATAATCTAAAATATAATATCGCATCAATAAGGATATGAAATATTGTATATTTCATATCTACCTTTATATCTTATATTAGTTACTAATTCTCTCTCTGTTTTAACCTAAAAAAAAATAATTTTGTGTTAATTTTAATTCCAATTTAGAAATCGATTTGGAATTATATATATATATATATATATATATATATATATATATATATATATATATATATATATATATATATATATATATATATATATATATATATATATATATTATCCTCAGGAATGGCACAATGAAATATATTGTCTTATCCATGGTATTTACTGTTCATGTCATGATATTTACTGTTCATGTCTGTATACAACGGTTAAATCTTTTCATCAGATGGGCCGTCATTTTATTTGCCATTCCAAATTTCATAAAAAAATTTATGTTTTTACAAAAAATGTGTTTTAGTACTGTCTATTGTCTAATACACGCAGTACAAGCATTGCTTATTTTGGCATTACATAGAGATGTGTAATGTGTGTATTTAAAATATAGAAACAATGATAATATTACTTTGGTAAATATATATAAATGCAATTAATAAAATTCTATATATGGCATACAACTTATGTTCAAATGATCAAATCAACTGATTGCTAAACATTTTATCTTTACCCAAGAAAACAACTTCAGTAAAGATAAACTGTTTTTAAATTGTTATTTGAAACTATTATTTTAATTACTGAAAGCAGCAAACAAGTACACGTTACCACCTGATAGATAGAGGTGACCATCGGGTTAAATATAATGTATCTCTCGAGGCAGCTGTCAGATATTCTCCAAAAGAAATTTCAGTTCGTTGTCCAAATTCATACTAGATATTATACCCTTCATACGGATAAACAACAACGCAATCATCGTACTTGATACCTGTTGCATAAATTATTTTAATACGTTATTATTTCTCCGCTATGGCAGCAGAAATAGCGGAAATAACGTATAGATAGAACAAGAAAACAGCATTCAGCGAATTGTTATTTCTCATGCATGTTATAACAAAAACATAAATAATGAGAGATCAATTTACCCACAAGTATCTAGGGGACATAAGAATAATATTTCGTTCTTATGTTAGGCATGTGAGGGAGTAGGTAAACTCACAGTTACCACTATGTAATAGTACCTACATAGATGAGTCACTCAAAAGCACCGTTGATAAAGTTATTTTTATTAAATTTGCCTCTTCTTTACAAATATTTGTATTCCATACATTAAAAAACAGTGTTTGTCATTTTTCGCAACTTTTCTGTACTTTCGTTAAAAAACATCTACAAAATATTGCCCTATTGAACTGATTTTAACTGATATTGTTACAAAGTCCTTGAATACTACGAGCATTCGCCTAAAACCAGGAAGCAAACCCCGATCGCGTGCCGACTTTCATTACCAAGTTGTGCGTGTCGCGTTCTTAGGCGTTCGCCTGAAAATGCTCTACATCGCATTGTCTTTTTATCGGTCAATCGATAGTTTCGCTCAATAAACGGGAAAACCACACTAATATATGCACCTCGACGAGTTATATCATGGGATATCCAAGTTGAATAGGTATCTATAAATTATCTACTGACAACGCTAGGTATACCTAAATATTATACTAAATCGTAAAATTATATTTGTGGCGTTTTGTTTGTTGTACCTAACACTCCATAGATGTTGTGTGTTGTGTTTGTGGGTTTCTATATTGGGTGTAGTATTTAAATGCTATTATTATAAACAACAGATTTATTATACGTATTAATTTTGTAAAAGCAAGCGATAGCAGACAGCGCAAATCTGACAGAACATTTTGACATTTTGTGTTGAGGTGCGTTCCGAGCGTACGTAACACTCCCCCACGTTGTAACTTAAAGGTTCAATCTGTTTGTAGGTTTTCTGATTCTCGTACTTCGGCGAAGTACAACTGGTTGCTCGACACCACTCGGAGATGCCGGCGTAGCTACTGGTGCGAGCTGTGGCTGTGTCACATTCTCTGTAATAGAACCTGGAACAAATAAAGATTTTCTTTTCGAAACAGGCTTATTATTCTCCGTTCCTGTTTCATGGCAGGGTGAAGTTTCCAGTACAGGTGAGTCAGGTAAGTATTCTCTCCCATCAGGTGTATAATTCAATCTTCTTTCTTTTTCAGGTGATGATACAGATGTCGCAGCTGGCGCGGCTATCAACTTAGTTACTACACTACTAACTTACAAGGTAAGTAAGGTAAGTATGAAACATCATTTCCTTGAGTACACATAGTTCTTCTTATCTGATCTATATGCCTTGTATGTATTTTTCCATCCACTTCCACATTGTAGTGTAGTTTTCCTTTCTTTTGTATTACTTTCCCAATTTTCCATTTATTACTGTCATAGAATCTAATCTGCACTCTGTCTCCTTCTCTATATATTTTATTAAATCCTTCTGTATTTTGTTTCATATTCATTTCTGTAGTTAGATCTCTTTTTACTAAGTCTATTTTTGTTCTATATAACCTTTTAAACATCATTTCCGCTGGACTTAATCCTGTAGTATTATTAGGAGTTTTTCTGTACATCATTAAAAATCTTGATAACTTTTCCATTAATGTGCCTTTCTCATGGATCATGCTTTTAATTTTATTTTTAAAAGTTTGTACATATCTTTCAGCCTGTCCATTTGTAGATGGATGAAACGGT